TTGACAAGCGAGAATCCCAACATGGGAATGATCTTCTTGAGTACGGAGAGGAGGGAGAAGAATACCTTCGAGGGAAACAGAGACGCCTTCCTGGGCACTCTGGATGGAGATGCTTGGCAAAAGTTCTTGAGCGAATTCAGTCGAGAAGTGGATGAAGACACCACGTTGGATAATTTCAAAGAAGAACTGTGGGACACGGTGGTGAAGTTTGGTGAGCCTGTCCTGGTGGGGACGGGTTTAGAAGAGAAAGCTAGAGTGGAACTACTGAACAAAATGGTCGAGTTGAGGAAGTCAAGAAAGACCAGAGAAGACAAATGTAAAGACAGCTCTACTCCGAAACAGAAAACTGACAATAAAATAATTAAGTGTACAAGGGGGGATAAGGTAGGAACTAGTAATATGATTAAAAGTACTAATATCCTTAAGGCTCGAGCAGGGGGGAGGCAAGAGTTGGCTGGAGAAAAGGAAGTTGAATCAGTGATGATACCAATGACGCCCCCAAGCAAAGACGTGAGGTCTCGCAAGAGGAAGAGAGACGTGGAGGGAATGGGCAGTCCTTCAGCTGACGCGGTCTCGGAGAAAGACTTGAGAGAGACGGCTCCCATGGTTCTGGCGCGATGGAAAACGGCAGCCTACAAGAGTAGCTACGAACCGAGGAAACTGCTCGACATAGAAAAAGAAATGGAGAATCCCACTAGTTCCGTGACGGAGGAGGATTTCAAACCTCAAAGAATAAAAATGAAGCGAGGTTCGACGAGCGGGCAGACCTGGGAAGTAGATGTTGGCAAAGAGTGGGTCTCAAGTGAACATCAAGCTGTCGGGAAGCAAGTGACCAGTGATCCACTTGAGAAAAGTAAAACCAGAAACACCTCCCGACCATGGTGGATAGCTCTCGAGACATTGAAGGAGATGGAAGGCTGTTTGAAGAAGTTGAACAGTGGAGTGGCTCGCAAACGATACAGCTGGGCCATCCAGCAGAAGGCTGAGGTCAACAAGATAGAGTTGGCAAACCAGCTGAAGAGATCCTGGCAGAACTTATTGAAGGATCATTTTGAAGAGGCGATGAGGACATCCTCATCGGCACCACCACTGATGGCGAATCCCTTTATCAGGACTGCAGGACAACTGATGTTCGCGTGGAGCCTGTTGGGGATAGAGCTGGAAACGCTGACTTCATACGACAAGTTGAAGCTGGGAGGAAAAAATCTAGAGATATACCGAATGTTGATGCAGCACGTTGCCAAGGACAACTCAGGCTTGAGTCTGGCAAGGAGGAAGGATGCAACCTGTTTCTTGAGGTGGACGATGTCGATGATGACTGACAGTACCATCCTAGCATGTCATCAGAAAGCAGTCGCAAGCAAGACGTTGGAAAGGAGAGTCTCCACAGTCATCTTGAATGTGTATCAGAGCACTGGGATAGAGAGGGAGGATGGTTCTAGGCAATCTCTGGAGAACCATAGGAAGTTGGATGAGATACGGAGGTTCTACAACAAGAAGTTCGAAGAGGAGCACGACGTTCACCGCAACCTGGCTTCGTCAGGGGAGTACTTGAAACTCAACAGAAAGGGAGAGTACCAATATGTTTCTGGAGTGATGGGAATGGCGTACAACCCCTTCTTGGACCTGGAAGCTGGAGGAGCCAACAGAAATTATGAAGTGGCGGAGCTGTTGAAGTTCTGGACAGAGAAGATAGTGGAGATAGACGTTGTGGAGAGAGAGAGACCTAGCCTGGGTCTGGTTCTTGAGGGGATGCCGGGAGTGATAAGTGTGCCACGCTCAAGTAAAAGAGTGGAGCTAAGAATGGGTGATGGGAGTGGCACGTTGATCACGAACCTGGGAGTGGTATGGAAATTACTCAGACCTTCCTGGTGTCCACATCCCCATGCAAGTATGATTGAGGAGGTCACTGAGCGAGTGAGATTGGCACCGACAGAGGATGAGGACTTGGCGATCTTGAGCATAGTACACAAACTGATCTTGCCTCAGGTGAAAGAATCAAGTGAGGTGACAAGTGGAACAGAGCCGGTGAGGAGGATGGAGCCGGGCAGTTGTCTTGATTCGACATGCAGTAACGGCGAACATATTTGTGATGGACGATTATGCGTCAGGATACAATCTTTCCAGAAAGAGGACCTCACTACCTGGTTTGAAGATATCACTGAAAGGGAGAAGAGTGAGGTACAGATAGTGGCTGAATGTTACGCGAGGACCACCGTGAACCTAGCGACAGCCTTGGGATTCTTCTCAAGAATGTGCAGTCTCCAGTCACTGGAGAGGCTAGAGTCAGAACATCACCTGGTGACCGCGTTAAGCGTGGAATCATGGCCCGGAGTGCTACAAGTGAACCAGAAGCACATCAAGAGTTGGAAGATCGGACTCGAGGCAGAGATGGGATTTCCCATGAGCGAAGCCTATGGATTACCTCTAAATGCAAAATCCTTAGTGGGATCAGTGTTGGCTAACCTATGTGGGAGCCACTATCCACTACACATGGCGATGGTGGAGGTGTCCAGCCAGAGGGTGATGATAGACAAAGCCTTCTCAGTGCCCAAGTGCGTGAGACTGGCTCGGATGTCACACCACTCACACAAGCTATTGAGGAAGATCCGAGGAGCAGTACCAAAGGAGCAAAGAGATGACTTGAGTGAAATCTGGGGTGAAGAACTTCTAGGCTTGGAGAGCGAAAATGCAAGTGATCATGGGAAGCAGAACGTGGTGGGGAAACCCGCAGTAGGTGCTTCAAGCTCGGAAGAAGTCGACGTGGTGCATGAGAAAATGATGGAACTTGAGCCTCTCCTAGAAGCTTCGGGAGAACGCAACCTTAGAAGCATCGACCTCACGCATGGGGATTGTCCATGCCACTGTCTGGCGCAGACAGTGTGGTACCCGGACCGCGCCAATCTCTGTCTGATCTGGGACGTAGAAGAAATTAAGTCGCTAGGACTACCGGAGTATCGACAAAAGGTGACCATCTTAGTGGTAAGCACGATGCTGGCTCTGAGATGGATTGAGGAGAATATAGCGAAGTACAGAGAATCGAGAGCGCCAACAGCTGAATCGATTTATGCGATAGATTACAGCAGGAGACTGGAGTTGTTCGAGACTGCATGCAAGGTATTCGCCATACCAGTGCAAGTCAGACACATATGGAGCCGCCTGAGATTCTTTCCTTGGTTTCGTGCGACGTTAACATCCTGGTTGTATGCGGTGACGAAGGACCACATGAGGAAACATCAGAAGGAATATCGACAATTCCAAGCTGAAATAGGGCCAGATGCCTTTAAGAGACCTCTGCTAACCCATCGAAATGCAATCACGGCGGGGTGGAAAAGAGTAGGCAGAATATCCAGAGACAATTCTAGAGCGAGGGAAACGATACTGGAGGAGGACCTGGCGAGGAATGTGAGCTTGAGTCTTCATAACTCCTTCTGCTTGAACCGGGAGTCGAAGGTGAAAGGCCTACCAAGTCAATTGAAAAGGTTGCAAGAGCAGAGAGAGTGGATGCGAGCCTATGAACAGCTGAAGGCCTGGGAGGAAATTGTGATTAGCTCCGATGACGAAGAGGCACTATTGGAACAAATTACAGTGCCAAGAACACCGGTATCAGGTACCTCGAAGGCGAAGAACATGAGGTGAGCCAGTGGCTCGAAAGGAAATTCTAGAGTCTTGAGTCTTGAGAGGGAGGGGGCTTGAGCGTGAACTTGGATAAAATCTGGGTTCACGGAAAAGAAATTTTAGACGAATAAGATATTGTTATTAATATGATAGATCTAGTATATAAATCAAATTGATGCATGACAATTCTCTGACTGAAATAGGACAAAAGAAATTTTAAATTACTAGCTTAAAAAGCGAAAATTCACAGGTGCAGGTGTGTGCAGATTTTGGTTGCTGTTTAGCGATAGTGTGAAAATTTTACATGGTCGTGAATTTTGCAAGGTAGATAAGCTTAAGTTCGATGCAAACTTCTGTAAATGACCACTGGCACTGTATCTTGAGCAACACTCGGTTCTCTGGGACTTATTGGCAGATGACAACACACGATGAGGACATCGATCTCGAGTCCGGGGAGTATGTGCCAGTCGGTCATGTCTGGGGGTTTGACCTTGAGAAATACGCAATTTTGGAGTGAAATTTTAATTTTGCAAAATTCGAATTGAGCATGTCATGCTCAATTTTCTCGAACCAACTGAAAATGAAAAAGTCAGAAATCAGAACACCCGAATTAACAATAGCGGGAAACTACTCAAGAAAAAGGCAGGAAATTGCTATTCGCAATTTCTCGATACGAAATATCAAGAGAGTAGAGCTGTCTTGTCCTGAAAACAGGAGAATCGAATACGGACTTGAGACAGAACAATTATTCGAATGGAAAGGAGTGGACTCTGAATGGAAGAGTGGACAACTCGAGTGTCCAAAGGGTTCATTCAGAGACTTTGATTCTAAAGACAAAACTTACTTCTGTTATTGAAACTAATTGGCCTTAAAACTTATTTAGTTATATTAGTTAATTCTCAAGCTGCTCATCTTTAACTTACTCCTCATACTCAAGTGCGTCGATATGTAAGTTCCAATTTAAATTTCTCGAGTGCATTTTATGATAATTATGTTGAGATAAGGCGAGTTTTAGGTTGATCCATCTGAAATGGATCAAAGTTCCACTGTCCAATAAAAAGTAACTAAGCGGATTGTTCCGACCCGGTTTTTAACGGCGTTCATGTATTTTGGGTATCCCGAGACCTAAGTATGGGGACGTTTTTATTTCTAGAGTGGGGGGGTATTTTGGTAGTGGCCTTTAAGCTGTAATGGGTTCCAGTCTCATGTCGCAAGCGAACCGAATTGGCTCCGACCGTTCTTGAGGCGGAAAAACACAAGAGATAGTGTCCCTGACTCTTGAGCCAATGGTTATAGGGCCTATTTTTCTTAAGCCTCATATGTGACTAAAGTAGGCGACTGTTACATGAATACGCGGTTGTCTATATACAGACTGTTTTCCTGAAAGAATGGTAATAAATTTTTTTCAGAAAGATGGCCGTTTGTGTGGCTGTTTTGGCGAGGCAAAATTATCCTCTTTACATGCGAACAATTCCTAACGAAAACACTTTAAAATTCCATTTCATAGTTCACTCCTCTTTGGATGTCATTGAAGAGCGAATGGTAGCTGTCTCACGCAGTGCGACCGAAGCTTCCAATCGAGAAACATATCTGGGATATCTTCTGACGATTCAGGATTTCAACGTAAGTGATTCGCTCTTTCTAAAGTTAGTTTTGACATTTGGCCGATAGTTTTTTCAATGGCTGACGAGTAAAAAGTGATAGCCTTAATTTGATTTAACAACTATTTAAAGTGCGATTGAGAATTTTTTCTGTCAATGTTGAGGGAAGATAGATTTAAGACTAGTTTGATGACCGTACAAAAAGTCGGCGGTGTGTCTCGGTCATCAACAGAAGACATGCCATAATAATGATATCCGGTAGCTGCTTTCGAAAAAATTTTCGCTGAATTTTAAAGATATCACCTTAGAAGTTTTGATAGATTAACTTTTGTGCAACTGCTTTACCGAAAAAGTGAAAAGTTTCATTTCCGAGCGCTATAAACTACAATTCTCGTTAAGATTTTTCAACAGTGAACCTGAATAAACTAAGTAAAACTAATGAAAGTGCAGAATGATACTGCACTAAGTGGTATTGTGTATCGTAATCGAGGATTCTAAATCTCTTCGGAATTTTTCTTTTTTGTTAATGGAATTGCCAAATCGATCTTTATACTTGCGAAGCAAAGTGCATTAGTACGAGCTTTCTTTTTTTCCAACCTAAGTCGCAAATAAAAGTGCTGCTTTTGGTGGAACTTTAAAATCCTTAGGCTGCGGTAGCATTATAATATCATATGTACTTTGACATTTGATTAGTAAAAAGTTAAGAAAGTAGATGCATTTTTAATTCATCAAATGAACCGATAAAAGTTATTTGTTTCAAACAGCAGTACAATGATAAAAAGCTCGATTTCAGAAATTTTCCCACTTAATGTATCTCGTAAATTTTTCAACTGCATAATGTATACAGAATTTGGCTTCATGCTTTCCAATTTATTGCATGCAAATTTGTGTCTTTTTGTATTTGGTGCTACTTTGCTGCATTGAATTGGCAATTATTAGCATATGTAGCTGCGTTATTGGTGGCTACATTTTGGGGATTTCATGCATTCGTGGCTGAGTGTTCAGTGCGTGAGACTCAATTTTGCTAGGTCGCAGAATCGAGTCCGACACGAGCCGATTTTTTGCTAATTCGGGATTTATTTCTTCTTATTTCACATGATAGAGCTGCTTCTTGGTCGTGTTCTCGGTAGTGTTTGCGAAACTCAGCTAGCCTCTGTGTTAAATGAACACATTACTGATTGTGTCTCTACTTTACTGATTGTATTTCTACTTCTACCAATATTGTGGTCGTTTTGTTCTTGTAACTACTCTTTTTTCCACTCGGCCCTTCCCGTCCGGCCTCTAAAAAGATAAAAACAAGAGAACCAGGAGGGAGGGACCGTAAATGCGTGTAAGGGATAATAATAATAGCAAGTGAAACATAGCAATCGAGCTACTTGGCAGAGTTCCACCAATAATATCAGCTAATGAACACAAACTTGATCGGAAAACCAGATATGCGCCAGCACAACTCAGAGCGGGGTATTCAACCCACCTTAATAGTTACCCCCATAGATGGAATAACAATATACTTGACGTCTACCCAAGTTGTTAGACAGGACCACACACCTCTAATCTGTTTAATTGGCGGGTACACTCTACATCACTTACCATCGATAGCCTATGGCAGAATCCCGAAGAAGCTGCCAAAACTCTGCAGCTTATCACATAACGCTAAGCAACGGGAATTTTTCTCGGTTCTCCCTCTAAATAAAAACTGCCCGCTTGAACCGGGCATGGAGTTTCACTCGGTTCTACGCGCGCCGAAAATCTTTGCCCCAGAACGGGCATCATTAACGACAAACAAACCTCCCTCTTGAGTTTGCTATACAGAGAGGAGGCACCGACACCAGCACAGACGCTTTCACTGGAAAAGGTAGGTCCCCTTCTATGTCGGTTTTACCGCTAGAGACCCTGGGGAACTGCAGTGAAAGATTATAAAAGACGACGACCCACGAAAATTCCCTAACTCTCTCTCTCTCTCTATCTCTCAAACAGAATCGATCTCTCTAATTCAATCAGAAGTTCGGAACGGAAATCGGTGTAGTTACAACAACAATAATAGTGGTAGTAGTATAGGTTAATACGAGCTTGAGGGCAATGTCAAAGTTTTTTCATCCCTCAGTTTTCAAGTAGCATGAGTTTTTCAGTGGGTTGCAGTTTCTACATGTGTACAACACTTGCCACGAACAAGAGAGGTTTTATATAGGTCTGTGATTCTTCTTTTGCTGGCAAAAACATCTGTCTATTGGCGCCTTTGTACCATTTTCCTTAACTTTGGAGCTCGGGTCCAGAATAGTTCGGTGCATTTTTTTATACTCTGTTGAGGGACGTTGAACTCCATTTGTTGCCGTGTGATTCCTTCTATTTAAACCTTTCTACTATTGATTTTGCTTACCCTTGTGATAAGCAATGGTATTTTTTACAATTGGGCAATACTTTTTTCCGTGAACAACTTGGTTCGCAGGATGACCTAAATTGGGGTCATCTTCACTTAAATAGCCTTAATCTTTAACGTCTAAATAAGTGCAGTTCGAGAGCAGAAAACCTTTTTCAGAAGTAAATAAAGTCGCACCAAATTGTTGTCGGATAATTGTGTTATATCAATTAGCTATTCATTAAATTGCTGTACCTCATTTCAATTTAAGTATCAATAAAATTTCAAATCTCCACAAATTTTTCTGACAAAATTTTTTCGGGGAGGACCTTGGTCTAACAAAGTTTTCTCTGCTTAGTCACCACTTGATAAAGATGCCGAAGGCTAATATGTTTTTCGACAGTTTTTTTATTCTCGATGAACGTCTGAAATTATTGAATGATGCTTTCGGCACAAGCGAAAGCAGGTGTACCTGTGATCGGGAACGACTTTTTTTTCTCGTAAACAATTTTTCTTACAAATCTGTAAAAAATACGTGCAGTTATTTACCTGACTAGGAAGACAAGCTCAATTTCTTGAAAACTCAAATAAAGCTATCGACGTCATTTCAGCTCATTAAACTTGCGAGCGCAAAATACTTGTAATCGGTAACAAAACTTTTTCCCGTTAACAACTTTTCTTACAGGTTAGTCGGCAAGTAACACTGTAAGAAATTGCGAAGTTGCTTTATTACTTAATCCTAGCTTCTTGTTTAGCCTAAAGGGAAACGTGGTTGCCTTTTTACCCCGAGGTGTGGTATTCGAGTCCCGACTGGACTTTTCAGTATGTATGAAAATGAGCAAAAAAAACCGGAATTGTCGGATTTTTGTTTGTCTGCTTATCTTTTGTCGGCTTCGTAGCAAATTTAGGAAATTATCGTGTTCTGTCAGCAATTTCCATCTTAGATGCAAGTGTTTTTGATTTACTTAGATGCAAGTGTTTTTGATTTACTTATGTAATTTGTACAATTAAAAGCCCGGAATTTGTATATTTTTCTGTTTTTTTTTCTGCTTAATAGTTTTATTCGTCCTAAATTTTATTCGGTTAAGAAATCTCTTTTTGTGTTGCTTGGAGGTCAAAATTATTTCTCATGCTTATTTGCTGCCAGAGAGACAGGTGGTTGAAGCTTAATTTGAATTTCCACGAAATTTTGTTAATGATGGTTTAGGTTTATCGGAGATAATATAAACTTTTTTTCGATTTATCTGCCTCTCGGTAGAGTATCCCCAATGCTTTTTTTTACCATGTTTTGAAAATCATTGCAGATTAATGCTCAAATCTTTGCTGAGGTAATTTCAATGAAGTATTACTGATGCTTTTTACACAAGCAAAGCTTTTGTTATAGTATGAACTCTTTTTTTCCCAACCTAAGTCGCAAATATTGTTGCGACAAAATGTGTTCATTTTGATCAATAACCAGTTATTAAGTACAGCCAATGCTAAGGATACTAATACAGACTATTATATTACAAATAACACATTAGCTTCAAGGTGTCATGGATCTGTAGCGTAGAGGTATGGAAGGCGACCAGCAGCAAAATGAGAGGTTCGAACCGTGACAGGGTCGTATGTTTTAAATGAACTTTTTCTATACTAAATAAAATACGGTGTCCGCTCTATAAATTGAGGCATGTTAGTTGATAAATTTCTTTTTCCAAATTGACTGGTACTGCTAATGCGTCATAATTGGCTTGCATCACCTAGCAATTATGTACGCTTATAATTGGCGTGCATCACAAGAAGTTTTGTAGACTCAAAGTTTTACTCATTCAGTTTTTCCCAGTAGCGTTATTGGTCTTAATTTTGCGTGCATATGCGAAGTGCAACTTCGCCTCTGTGTTCAACTTTGTTTTACAATTTTACAATTTATTGTTTTTTGTTGAGATTTGATTTTCTTAAGTTGATTTACTTAGTTTCAGCTGTTGTTTATGATAGGATTCCAAAATTTTATCCATGAGCTTTTTCGAAATATCTTTTGATAATTTTTTCGTGGTCCGAAACATTCTGTGCTTTTCTTTTTTTTTGATGAGAAAACTTGAAAAAAAAAGAGTTTCTCTTACTTATGTTATGTTAATTATTTTTAACCCTTTGTGGAGTACTGCTGATTAAGTGCTAATTTATCATGGACTGGTAAAAGACCCAAGGATACATAGTTGTCGGCAATGAAAAATTTGTGTTTTTTTGGCTGCAATGGATCTCAGCGGGATTTCAGCATATTGTGTTTAGGTTTATGGTTATGTAACAAATTGTCAAGTGAAGTTTGTCATTCTCATGGATTCGTCAAATCTGTCTATCAAAGACCACGACATTCTTTCTATGTTCAAGGTATGATGTTTTGTGCGTTCTTGAGTAAAAGCGTACGACTTGAATTTTTACTTTTTTAGGTAGACTGTTTATCTAGTTTCCACAAAATTCTTATTTTGATTTTGTGAAAGTCTGAATTTGACTGAAGCTAACTCGGCCCATGTGCAATACATTCATTTTAAAAACAGTCCTAAAATCTTTATATACAGTCCAATATATGCGCTTCGAGTGCTATAGCGTGAACGAATCGTATAATGTTGATATCGGTCGATTTATCGGCTGCTTCTCAAGATCTCGATTTAACACTTGAGTTCGTCCAAATTGCTAGTGTGTTCAGCTATGCTGTTGTAAGCGCCAGAGGGCGGTATCCTCCATTCTACTTAGTAATTACATCTTGAGGGAGTTTGGCTGTGCCGCCTGAACAGTTGAATAACTGGGAGACCGTACTATTGGCATGTGTGCCTATTAACATGCCTAATTACTCTTGCGATTAGCAAGCGCTATCAAACCGGAATATACTTTTTTGGGTCGCTAACTAGTTTTACAGAATCACTTGAATCATTTAACCTTTGGCTTGTATGAAATCAAAAGTGAGACGTTCATTCGCGGTCTTTGTTTGTGTGCTTTTTTTGCCGGCTTCGTTGCCGCAGCACCAAATCTACCTAAAGTTTGGGCATTTTTACTCAAATAAAAAACATTCAGCGTATTCCGGTTTTGGGCAACTTAGTGATTTCCAAAAAGTTTTGCTTATATTTTTGATTTTTTTTATGCTGTTCATTAAAAATTTTTGAACAGGAGTATTCTGTGTATTTGGTGCAGTGCTCGAAATGACAAATCTCAGAATTTCGATTCCAGTCGGGACCTGTTTTTTTTGTGGGAACGGTGAAATTTTCTAATATTTTGAGCTTTGGTGTCTGCTAATTTTTGTCTGCTTATGTCCCGAAGAAAGATTTGTTTCTTTTTTAGCGTTTTGAAAGCTCTTTTTAAAGTTTCTAATGGTGCAAGTATTTTTCTTCCACTAATTTTTCCACTCCGTTTCGCCTCTGTGTTAAAATTGAACACTCGTGTCTCAAATCTATTATATATTTAAATGCGGGCTTCACTATCTCGCCATGTTTAAGCTTTTTCAACGTATTATTTTTGCATGTTTAAGCTATATCGTATATTGCAATGGTTAAGAATTTTTTTCGATTTTCCTATTTTATTTTAGTTGTTATTTTACCGAGCTTAAATTAAGCAGCCCAATATCGAAATAGGGTTTGCGAATTTGGCCTCCAGTTTTGAATAATCGAATCATTTTAGTTAAGGAGATAAGACGATTTTTGAGGTTTTTTTCAAAAATTTTCATCAATTTCAAATAACAAAGTTGTTTACAAAACTTAAATTTCCCAACCCTGTAGTGGGTGCTGTCAGAGTACTCTAAGGAGTTACAAATCTTGCCTCCAAATATGACTGTTCAAATCCTTGTAGTTTTCGAGATATGACGTTTTTTGTGATTTTTTCAAAAATTTTCAGAAAACTCATTTTAATTTTTTTTTTGCAAAATCTGAAATTCCCAACCCTGTAGTTGGGTCCTTTCTGAGTAATCTTAGAGATTGCGAATCTTGCCTCCAAATATGACTGCTCAATTCTTTGTACTTTTCGAGATATGACGGTTTTTGTGATTTTTTCAGAAAACTTAAATTTTTTTTAAGTTCTGAAATTCCCAGCCCTGTAGTTGGGTACTGTCAGAGTACTATCAAGGATCGCGAATCTTGCCTCCAAATATGACTGCTCAAATCCTTGTAGTTTTTGAGCTATTATGTTTTTTGTGATTTTTTAAAAATTTTCAGAAAATATTAAATAATTATTTCTCAAAATTTGAAATTCCCAACCTTGTAGTTGGGTGCTATCAGAGTACTCTAAGGAGTTACAAATTACAAATGTTGTCTCCAAATCTGACTGTTCAAATCCTTGTAGTTTTCGAGATATGACGTTTTTTGTGATTTTTTCAAAAAAATTTCAGAAACTTATATTAATTTTTTTTCTGAAAAATCTGAAATTTTCAACCCTGTAGATGGGTGCTGTCAGAGTAATCTCAAATATTGCGAACATTGCCTCCAAACATGACTTCTCATTCTTTGAAGTTTTCGAGATGTGACGCTTCTTGTGATTTTTTCAAAGTTTTCAGAAAACTTATATTAATTCTTTTTTCGCAATTTCTGAAATTCCCAACGCTATAGTTCGGTGTTGTCAGGGTACTGTAAAGAGTTGCAAATCTTGCCACATGCGACTGCTAAACGCGACTGCTCAAATGCTTTTAGTTTCCGAGATGTGACGTTTTTTGGTTTTTTTAAAATTTCTCAAAGAACTTATCTAAAAAGAAATTCAAAAAATGTGAAACTACTAACTTGATGAAGATACAATCTTATTCTCAGCGTACACCCAGGCGTCTCAAATCTTGCCTCTTAATATGAATGCTCAACTTCTTTTAGTTGCCGAGATAAGACGTTTTTTTTTTCTTTTTTTTCTGGAAACTTAGTTTTAAAAAAATTCACTAAGTTTTGGATTCCTAACCCTATAGTAGGGTGCTCTTAGGGACTCTCAGTGGTTGCAAATCTGGCCTCCAAATTTCCGCAGAGGCCCATTAACTTTTCGAAATGACGCTTTTAAAATGGGAATTTAAAAAAATTAAAAGTTCGAAATTACCAACCCTGTAATTGGGTGCAGTCAGAGTACACTAAAAGTTTGCAGATGTTGTTTCCAATATATGCGGTTTTTCATGAGTTGTCGAAAAATTTCGAAGCACCGAAGGTGCGTTAAACGCTAGTTATAATTATTTGCAGCTAATTACTTTTTCCGTGAATAACTTTGTTCACAGGATGACTGAAACTCGTGGGCTTCTCCAGATCTGTACTTAATCATTCAACGTGCATGTTTTGGCCTTTTCTGATTTCTGGATACCCGTTGTATTCGAAGTTTGTTTGGTACGCCGTTTTTAGTTTTAGCGAATCTGAATTCAGTTTGCTGTTTTTTAATTTCAATTTTTTTTTTTAGTTTTTTGACTTGAAAGGTTACGGTTTAGTGATTGTAGTTCGTCGCTGATAAGCAAACGATTAATTTTTTCATCTGTATGTTTCGAAAAAGGAGGTTTTCTAAGAAAGCACTTTTCCGGCTCAACGACAACTTCTAAAGAATTTTCGCCTTGTGACCGCTTCTTAAGTTTTACTAGATGCTGTTTTATCGTTCAATTGTCTTGCATGTTTTTCCTGAATTGATCTTTGATTAAAACATAACAAGACTGCTCGAATCAGGGCAAAGCCCTGAATGTTCCGACTGCCTTTTCAGGTTTATCGAGCAGCAGTTACATAAAAAAAACTAAATGAAATAAAAAAAAGAAATTTTTTTAAATGAAATCATCGCCCCAGACGCCATATAAAGTACAAAAGGATAGATTTCGCTTCTTGTTACAAATCAATTATGGCAAATAAGCTTCTTTTAACCAATTTGGAACAATTTCCGCTTACGCGTTAATAGCGCGAAATATATCGCGCGTTAATTGTCCCAAATTGGTCAAAATGGCAATCTTTAAACCCCCATAACTTTACGAAAAACGGTCACAGTTGAAATATCTTTTCAAATTTGAGCTCAGGACAACAATACCTTTAGAATAGTATTAAAAAATTCCGTCAAAAATGGCTAGTTAAAAAGTCGAAATTTGTCTGAAGAAAAAAAAACCCACCCCGAGCACAAATATTCCGTCACTTTCGTTTCGAAAGTCGGAACAACAAGACAAAGATATGAAAGCTTTGATCAATTTTTTCGAAAGGAAAACAAATCGGCTTTCGTCTCATATTCTGTCGGCTAGTTTGTCAGACTATGTTTGTGTTTATTGCAAGTGGTTCGAGGCTCTGCTTGACATCTGTGTTTCATTTTTTCCCGCTTTATTCAATTCAAAATGCTTCGTCTTATATTGTATCGAATGAGTCGTCTCTTATTGCATCATTTGACCACAAGCTGATGCATGGACGTGTAGTAGGCAGGGATGCGTAAAAATATATTGCGGTCACAATATATTGCAATATAATATATTACAATAATTGATTGTCAGCTTTCATACAATACAATAATTGATTGTCCTGTCAACAATATAGTGTAACAATATGATCAAAGCGTGCAAACACCGCAACTGCCAGTGATTGGCCGGAAGTGTTGCTGACGCAAATTGACTCATTTCAGCCATCACTTGGTTTCAGAACACAGCCATGCCTAAAGCCTTTGACTGCACTCCCCATACGAGCAAACAATTTTTTTCTCTATGCTAACAAGCGTTTTTGGGACATTTCTGTTGTAGATAAAATAATTACGCGTGGTTGATTTTTTTAATTCACAGTGTTACCCAAAAAATAAATTTTCTCAGAGGATCCGGCAATTAATTGCAATTATTGCAATAATTGATTGGCAGGGTAGAACCAATACAATATATTGGGTAACGGGTACACAATAGTATTGCAATATATTATTACGCATCCCTGGTAGTAGGACTTAAAAGCTTTCAAAAAATTCATTGTTCGAGCCAAGTATCATCGGCATAGTTGTTGTTGCGTACTTATGCGGCGTTCGTCTCATTTTCTGTCGGCTAGCTTGGCAAGATATGTTTTGTTGTATCTCATGTGGTCCGATTCTCCACTTTGCCTGTGTTTGGAAAAGCGTTTGTGACGAAAAGGTTTTGAGCTGCAAGAAAGTGATAGATTTTTCTTTGGAAGAAAAATGTTTAAGAATCAGTGATTGTTTTCTTTTATTCATTTGAGCTCGTCGTCATTTTTGAACTGTTGGTTGGCTTAATTAAATCCATGTTAAAACATCTAAGCCGTTGAAAAAAGATACGGTTTGAGAACTATTCTCTCTGTAAATGTCAGTGACACTAGTGCTCTGTATGGAGTCTGTGCAGCGAGTGTTCATACCAATCAAAGCGAAGTGATTGTTGTGTTAAAAGGGATTAGGAAGCGAATTAAGGAATACAAGAAGGCATATTCTCCTACCCTATTGTGTTGCTTCTGTCATTGTTGCTGTTGTTTTTTGTTAAATTTAGAAGCTACACAACGCATACGGCGAGGCAGTGTCAAATCCATTCTACAATAATGGGGAAACAATAAAGTCTGCAGCGTTTGAGAAAGTAGTCGGCAATTTTATGCTCTCTCATCACCATCAGTACGTTACAGCACCAAGTGACGTCAACAACCACCCAGCATACCCATCGCAAACAAACAACACAACAGCAGCAGCCCATTTGCATCAACAGAATCAAGTACCTAGCAGTTCTCCCGCCACCGTCATAGCTCAGCCTTAGACTTTTTCAAATTATTCCTCAGTTTTTATGAATTAAATTGCTGTTTTGAGCCATTGTACAAATTGAAAACGAAAATTGCATTGATTGTTATATGAATATATATGTTACTTAATATGGTTTAATGTGCATTTGGAATCAACCTATTTACATTTTTGCCATCATGTGCATTTTTCCAATTAAGAAATACTAATCATGTTTCACTAATCAATCAGCTTGTTTTTCAGAAACTAATGACTATTAACTGTAACCAATAAAACAAAATGCCAATGCAGACAGACACTAACCCAACACCTCACACTTACATCGGCCAATATTTATAAAATTTAAATTTATTCCGTGTGCTTCTTATTATTCCTACGATGGGACTATAAATTATCCAGTTCATGATCAATCCTGCTCCTAGAAATGCTAATTCACTTCAAAAACCAGAAACTCAGGACAAATTAGCTATACAAATCATTAATCAAAAACGGGGAAAATATTTGAAGAAAAGGGATCAAATTTATCTTCAAAAGCAAAAGTGAAAATCATTAAAGACGTATCTCTTTCCTTATTATGCGCGGCGCTTCTCACGTCAAAGAGGAAGCGCGCAAATTTGCTCGCCTGGCATTCCTGTTGACAAAAGCGAATTCATAGCTGCCGTTCAATCCGAAGCAGAAATAATGGCAAAAAACCACGATGGAAGTACCCAACAGCAAGACTCAGATCACTACGACGGATATGCGACTGAACTTCGAGACAACTTCGTGTTGTCGGAAAACTTGGGCCGAGGCTCATTTGGTCTGGTGAAATTGTGTATATCAAAAGACAACGAGAAAGAGTATGCCGTAAAAATTGTATCCAAGAGGGCTTTGCAGAAGAAGGCGGGATTCTCGCGGCGCTTTCCAAGAAATGCTGGGCCTGTAAGTCAGATTACTAAACCAACTTGGTTTGCTTAGTTTGTCGATCGCCGATATTTAGTTATTGACTGTTCTATCTTAGCAAGGATTGCTCACGCGAGGGATCAAATTGAATGTCTTGGAAGTTTTTTGAAATTGTTTTGACAATAAATTATGTAATTATGACGAAAACATTCATAAACATATTGTGGTTCAAAAGTTTTGAATTTTTGGAAAAATTTCTTAAAATAAGGATGTGATTTTTAAATTTAAGGTGCGAACTCCGTTGGATCAAGTATACGCTGAGATATCCATCTTGAAGAAGCTGGACCACCCACACATTGTGAAGTTGTTCGAAGTGTACGATGACGAGAACTCGGACGACCTCTGCATGGTATTCGAGTTCCTTCCCGGAGGCCCCATCGCACCCGAGTTCCCCACGGACGAAGTGCTGAGCGAAGAAAAGGCCAAAAAGTATTTTGTTCACACCTTCTTGGCCATGGAGTACCTGCACCACCAGAATATCATTCACAGAGACATCAAGGTATGTGTGTGCTTGATCGATGTGTACGCTGTTGTTGTTGTTGTTGCTCTCTTTTAGCCTCCGATTGAATTGGAGAGCTGATTATTTCGAAATGGAGGGATAATAGGGGGTCTGCAAGTACGTTTGGTCATTGTTGTGATGTCGCAATTAGAGTTTTGCGCAATTAGACTTTTTAAGCTCACTTTAAATTCATTTGCTAAAATGAAGGCCTCTCCAATAACAGAAGTACAAATGGCGTGTAAAAACGTGAGTGGTTTAAGTTAAATTTTCCGAATTCCCAGCGGAATAAAAAAATTAAATACCGACCCAGTTTTCTCTACTTGAGTTAGTTTTATTTTAAAAGTGTCAATCATAAAAGACCGATGTAGAAGGTGGACCAGTGACTATTACGCCATTATTGTCAGTTGTTTTAGAGCTAGATATATCTTTCCAAAGAGATGCTGCTGTGTGTTGTTGGCGTGTGAATTTTTGTTACCTTTGATGTATTACCAGCGATCTTGTATTAACCATTTTTCAGTGTTTTTGGTTCAAAAATCAAATGAACTAAAACTGAGTCTCATGTGATTAAGCATAATCCTGGAGTTAAATTGAAAGGTCAAGTTAATACAAGGGTAGATAGCGAGATCCGCTAATTTTGCCCTTGAAACTTCACCTACAATGGTTCTTTACATATTGATGTCCAATTTTAAGCTATGATCCCGATGGTGCCAAAATGTTACCTTTAAGCTTTTAACAATTTGAACTAAATGGAATCAATGATTTTTTAATAAACTAATTAGAACGTATAGTTTCCACGTATCTCTAAAGGATCACACAGTAGCAAACGTTTTACAATTATCTATCTGTACTATATTTAAATGCTAGTGACAGCTATCTCCCATGTTTAAGCTTAAAAATTTTGCATGTTTAACGAAAGAATTTTTTCATGTTTAAGCTATATCATATATTGCAATGCTTCAGATTTTTCATTTCGTTTTCCGCAAGGTCATTACTTTTTCAATGATTTTTTTTCGAGGCCTGTCTCAATACCTGCTTTTCAAATTAATTTGATTGTGTCTGTCTACCCGTCTTCTAATTTTAATTTGGTTTCGACGATTTAGTTCAAAATAGTACTACTGTGAAACGGTTGCCTCCAATCTCTCTGTATCTTTATCTGGATTTTCTATCTTTTTTTCTATCTTATTTTTTGCAATTTTTTCTATCTTTTTTTTTATCATTTTTTCTATATATTTTTTTATTTTTCCTTGCCCTGTAGTTGGGTGCTGTCAGGGTACTCTCAAGAGTTGCGAATCTCGCCTCCAAATATGACTGCTCATTTCCTTGTAGTTTTTGAGATATGACGTTTTTTGTTATTTTTCAAAAAGTTTTCAGAAAAGTTAACGAATTTTTTTCTTCATATCTTGAATTTCCCAACCCTGTAATTGGGTGCTGTCAGAGTACTCTCAGGATTTGCGAATCTTGCCTCCAAATATGACTGCTCATTTCCTTGTAGTTTTTGAGATATGACGTTTCTTGTGATTTTTCAAAAAGTTTTCAGAAAAGTTACGATTTTTTATTTTTTTCTTCAAATCTTGAATTTCCCAACCCTGTAGGTGGGGGCTATCAGATTACTCTCAGGTATTGCGAACCTCGCCTCCAATTTTAACTGCTCAAATCCTTATAGTTTTCGAGATATGATGATTTCTTTTCTATGAGTTTTCAATTAACTTAGGTTTCGAAAAATTCTCAAAATTTGAATACCCCAACCCTGTAATTGGCTTCTGACAGGGTAATTCCAGGAGTTGTACATCTTGCCTCCAAATATGACTACTCAAATATTTCTACTTTTCGAGACTTGATTTTTTCGAGATGAGGGAAAATAGGAATTTAAAAAAATCATAAATCATAAAATATCAAATTATCAGCCATGTAATTGGGTGCTGTCAGAGTACACTAAAAGCCTGCAGATGTGGTTTCCAATGTGTGCAGTTTTCATGAAATGTGAAAAATGCGAAGCACCCTTGGTGCGTTACACGATAGTTCTATTGAAAAGCATGGTAGCTCTACCGGAAGAATAATTTTCCACTATTCACTTTTCGACTTTGAATCCGAAATTATGTAATCCGAAACAATGTTCCGAGTAGTCTCGTTAAATGGAAAAAGAGCAAACTCAAAATTTGTTTGATTTAAGTGTAACTACATCAGCCGAAAATAAAGAAACCATACTGAGTGTTGTGTTTAACATTCAGTTAAAAATGGCTCGTCAAGTTACTTCACAATAACGAAGCTTAAAATTGAGACACCAATGAGGATTATTTATAGTAGAAATTGTTGAAATTTGAAATAGAAAAGATAATTTTACCCACATATAGCAGAAAATAATAAACTTGAGCTGACAGTTTCTACATCCAAATTAATTTAGAGCACTGGTCTCTGTCTCATTGTTATTTGGTAATTTTTGTTGCGATTTACAAGTACACATGCCCCTAACAGATAGTTGATTGTTGTGATTTTATTAAACCTGATAATTGAGCACAGAAGTATGTTTACAGCTTGCTGAATACGCAAAAATATTTAGACTAGTTTAATTGTTCATCAGGGAATCGAAAACGGCGGAAATTGCCAATCTATACTATATTTAAATGCGAGTGACAGCTATCTCCCATGCTTAAGCATAATAATTTTGCATGTTCAACGAATGAATTTTTTCATGTTTAAGCTATAGCATATATTGCAATGCTTAAGAAAATTTTTCATTTAGTTTTTCGCAAGGTCATTAATTTTTCAGTATTTTTTGCAAGGCCAAATTAAGTCTGTCTGTCTGTATACCTGCTTTTTAAATTAATTTGATTATGTCTGTCTACCCGTCGCCTAATTTTTTAACTTTCATCTATTATCTATCTATCTATTATATATTTAAATGCGGGCTTCACTATCTCGCCATGTTTAAGCTTTTTCAACGTATTATTTTTGCATGTGTTGCAACCCCCAGGGTACTCTGAGAGGGGTTGCGAATCTTGCCTCAACTTCTCACTTCTCAAATTCTTGTAGTTTTCGAGATATGCCGTTTTTTATGATTTTTTCAAAAACTTAGATTTTAAAAAAATCCAAAAAGTAGAAGATCTCAATCCTGTTGTTGGATATTGTAAAGGTACTCTCTGGGGTTGCGAATCTTGCCTTTGATTATGGCTGCTCAAATCGTTGTGGTTTTCCAGATATGACCTTTTTTGTGATTTTTTCAAAAAAATTTTCATGAAAATTAATTTAATTTTTTTTGAAAGTTCGAAATTCTTAACCTGTAGTTGGAGGGGGGGGGGGGGGCTGTCAGAGTAATCTCAGGGGTCGCAATATTGGCCTCCAATTAAGAATGCCCAAATCATTTTTGTATAAGAGATACGACGAATTTTGTGATTTTTTGAAATTTTCGGAAAACTTAAATTACAAAATAGTTTAAGTTTATTAAAGTGAAATTCCCAACCCTGTAGTTGTTTTTTCAATGATTGCGAATATTGCCATCAATGAATTTTATTTTCTCAACATTGTAGTTGGGTACTGTAAGAGTATTCTCAGAAGTAGCAAATCTTGCGTCCAAATGCGACTGCTCAATTGCTTTCAGTTTCCCAGATGTGACGTTTTTTAATACATTTTATACTTAGATATAAAAATGTCACAAATTTTTATGGTTTTTTCAAAGTTTGATTTAAGAAATCGAATGAAATTTTTTTTAAAATTTGAAGTTACTCTCAAGAGTTGCAAATCTTGCTTTCAAATGCGACTGCTCAATTGCTTTCAGTTTCCCAGATGTGACGTTTTTTAGTTCATTTTAAATTTTTCGAAGAACTTGCATAAAACTTACAAAATTTTATGGTTCTTCAAAATTTGTATAAAAAACTTGAATAAAAAACATTGCAAAATTTTTAATTACGAACCCTGTAATTGGGTGCTGTCAGAGTACACTCAAAGAAAAGTTTTTTTTTTGAGTTTTTGAAAATTCGAAGCACCGGAGGTGCGGTACACGCTAGTTTAAATTTAAAAAGGTAACATAACTCTCGTGAAAAACTGCAAATTGGTTTAAGGATTTTAGCAGACCGGTTTTTAGCGGACCGGTTTTTTTGCAGACTCAGAGCAATTATAAAGTGTGATAGCTAACTTCAAACGCGGCATTGGCTATTAGCGACCGCTTGCCTCGCTGCGCTTCAATTCAACACGAGTTTTATTGTGCGCGTAAATCTTTGTTTTGCCTCTAATTTAGATTGTTGCGTTTTTGAAGTTGATAGTTTTGCTGACAAATCGTGAGATAATTGACTTAGTTGGTGAAGCTTGGCTCCAGGCTGAGCGTCTTTTTGAGTCTGTCAATCAATCATCCATCACTTTATTACGACCAATCTTTTAGCATAAAAAGTGAAAAATGAGTCTTTTAGGAGCCCAACGTAATAAAGTGGTGGATGCTTGATTGACAGACCCAAAAAGACACTCAGTCTGGGGCCAAGCTTCCCCAGTCAAATCAATAATTTCACGATTTGTCAAAAAAACTTTCAACTTCAAAAACAACGGTCTAAATTAGCGGCAAAACTCGTGTTGAATTGAAGCGGAGCAAGCCGTCTCCAATGCGGCGGTTGAAGTTAGCTATTGCACTTTATAATTATTCTGAGTCTGCTAAAAAAAAACGGTCTGCTAAAATCCTTGGACCAATTCGCAGTATTTGACGAGAGTTATGTTGCCTTTTTAAATTTAAATTGACAATTTCCGACGTTTTCGATTCCCCAATGAACACAAACCAGTCTAATTATTTTTGCGTATTCAGCAAGCTTCTAGCCAACTAAGTAAGTTTTCTTGAGCTAACTGTATCAGGACATCCACTTTTTTTCTTCGAATTTCGAAAGAGATTTTTCCAAAAACAAGTTAGTACTTTTTGTGTTTACTTGCGTTCATTGACACTTTTCCAACTGTTTGTTGGATTTCTTGGTTTAAACTATTTACAAAAACCTAGCTTTTAAGAGTCGATGAACGCAGTAACATAGGTCGTGATGATTTTTTTAGACTTGAAAATTAAGCCTTGAATTTGTTCAGGCTCAAATATACTTATTCGCGGTTTGACTATTGGTTTCGTTTTAATTTCAGTTCATTTCCTTTGTTAAAATGAAGGCAAACTCCACCACCGAAAAGCAGAAATGTGAAGGTTTCGAATATTTGAAATTTGAATTACTTTACCAGCTACATATACAACGCCAAAAGCAATATATTATGCCTGGAGGGAGATCCTAAAGAGCAGTACTGCTCATCGAGTAGGATATCCTGGAGAGTAAAGAGAAGACAGCCAGCATCAACTCAACAAACAAAATAAATTAAGGGCTGAAATTAAAAAACAGTTTATAGAGGTCTTGATTGTCTTTTATGTAAATTTGAAAAAACTGTTTATGGAGTCTCAAACAACTAACTTCTGACATTTCATGTTTATTAACAGGTATCAAGTCATTTTGCTTTAAATAGTTAAACGCCTGCTTAATTCTAACTGTAAGCGATCTCTGTTTAGCGGTAGTAGAAAATTTTGGCACTTTAATTAAGCCTTTCGCTTTACTCTTGGTACATGGTCCACTTTTTTTGGAGTAAATTTGAGACAGAAAACCATTTTTTCTGTCCGATCGCAATTCCATAAACAAGTACTTAAACATCTCAAAAAAGTATAAATCAAAAACAGTAAGCAATTTGTTTTTGTCCATAATTTCTTTAATTGATTCATATCTACGTTTGAAAAAAATTGCTCTCAAGATTATTTTTTGTAGTTTCATTATCTCGGTAAGGTGAGATTGGGATGTATTGCCGTATATTAAAATTCCATAAGTGATTGTAGGATTTACATATGCTTTGTAGAAGCGAAGCATCTGCTGTTTGGAAAAAACATACCTAGCTTTCCAGACAATGCCACAAAATTTAGTTAACTTTTTGCACACATGTTCAATTTGAAAGTAAGTTTCTTATCAACAAAAATGCCTAAATATTTACGCACATTTGTAATTTAAACTGTAGTACCAAAAGCAAAGTAATCTTTTGAAAAGTTTTTACCAAATATCATTATTTGAGTTTTACCAGGATTGACACAAAGTCCATTCGTTTTGAACCATCTATCCACTTTATTTAACGAACTATCAAAGCTATCGCAACAATTTTTTTCTGCATTGCATATTGTAGTATCATCAGCAAATAGAACAACCTCAGATCCTTCAGCAATTTTCCGAAGATCATTAATATATATTAAAAACAAAAACGGACCTAAAACTGACCCTTGTGGTACTCCACATGACATAGAGCGACTAGAAGATATTTTATCATCAGTTTGAACAAATTGAAACCGGTTTGCAAAGTAATTTTTCAGAAGACAAAAAATCCGGCCTCTAAAGCCGTATTTTTCCAATTTTGCCACAAGAAGATCATGATTTATGGTAACAAATGCTTTTTTGAGATCAACAAGGCATGATTGACCAACCAATTTTTTGTCCCATCCCTCTCTAATAAGTTCGGTGAATTCGATTAATGCGTCCACGCATGACTTTTTCTTTTGAAATCCAAATTGTTTCTCATAAAGAATCTTCTGCTTGTTAGCAAAGTTATACAATCTATTGAATATTATCCTTTCGAAAATTTTGCTGAGTGAACTGAGTAAACTGATAGGCCTATAATTTTCCAAAGATTCTTTTAAACCTCCCTTGAAAAGGGGAATAACTTTTGCCACTTTTAAGCCTTGAGGAAAATAACCACTCTCAACACATTGGTTGAAAAGGCTGCAAATTCTTACAGAAATTACAGGGAGCGATACTCTTATAATTTTGTTATTTATGCCATCATGACCATTTGAACCTTCATTTTTCAACATATAAATGGCATTTTCAATTTCCTTGTGGGTAATTTCATAAAAAACCATTGATTTTTTGATGCGATCTACATAACCCAACGCTTGTTTGTAATCAAATTCAGGGTTTCTCAGTTTCTCGCCAATTGAGGCAAAAAATTCATTAAAAACATCAGCAGCAAAAAAACTCGTGTTTTTGGAGTTTCCTTTGCAAAATTCATCAAAGGCCTGGAACAGCGTTTTCGACTTTCTACCATTTCCAACTTTTTTGTCGTAATTAACTCTTTTTTCATTTCTTATTACCTTGGTTGCTAAATTTCTAGCTTGAGAATATTTCAGTTTATCCAATTCAGTAGGTTTTTGTACCCACTTACTGAAAAGCCGATCGCGGTTTTTGAGGATCTTTTTGGTTGAATCGGTAACCCATGACTGTTTTTGTGATTTCGTTTTTTCTAAGGGAGCAAAACGATCAACTGATGAAACTATGGATTCAACTAACAGACAAAATTTCTCATTGGGATCACTAAGCTTATAAAATTTTGACAATTTGTTTTCTAAGAGGAACAAATATTTATAAATATTATCGTCACGGTAAAGATTTTTAAGATTTCTATAGCAGTAATCTTGCTTTTCTTGCGGATCAACATTCACGTAACCTGATATAATTACGGGAAAATGATCAGAAATAGTTGAATCTAGTGTTTTTACGTTGGCGTCGAAATTAGCAATTAAATGATCAATACATTTACTCGATGTTGGAGTAATGCGAGTTGGATCTCTATTCAAAATATGAGCACCACAGCTTTTAATTAGATTAATATAAGATTTGGAAATTGGCTTGCAATCTAAAGTGTCGATATTAAAATCTCCACAAACAAGAAAATTAGTTTTCAAAGCATTTAAGTACAGAAGGTAATTCTCAAAGTGATCCAAAAAAAACCTCATTTTTGCTCTGTGGGGGTTTATAGACAACGGAAATATTAGTCTTGACTGATTTATACACGATAGATATGTTGATGCATTCGAAATTAACCTCTACACTGTTTAACTGAAAATTCACATCGTCGCGCACATAAAACGCACACCCCCCACCTCGTTGATATTTCCGGTGTTTAGAAATTAAGGGATGGTAGCCATCAAGATGATAGAGATTCAGATAATCGTTATCACACAGCCAGGTTTCGCATAGCGCAATAATCAAAGGTTTTTGTTCTAACTGATTAATATCTATAACGAGTTGGTCATGATGGCATCTGAGGGACCTTATATTTGAAAAATACAAAAAACTGTCTTAAGTCGCCCATATGACGTTCTTCTACATTTCTCTCCATTTCAAAAAAATAAGACTTTTGTCAAGTTGATTGAATTTATTTGTTAGCTTCTTCTGTTACTGTTTTTTCTATATTGAGCGCTTGATTCATTTTCAATATTTAATTTTTTCGAGGCCTGATTATCAAGATTCAATATTGCTGGCGATAAATTCCTCTCTGACCATCTCCTCGAAATACCAGGAGTTGAATTGGTATTTAGTTGAGCACCAGTATGGCGCCCAGTAATGAAGGTATTTTGAACTGCTTGAGGATAGTTGTGAGGTCTTGGCCGGTTTTGACTGATCTGTTTTTTGGCTGCAGTTTTAGCTAGTTGTTCCACGCCAGCACGACTATTTACACTTTGGGAATAAAATGAGCCATTTGGTCGTTGGCAAAAAACTTTCACTTGGCAGTTATGTGTCGTTGTAATAAGATTCATGTTATCGCATTTCCTTTTAATTTCCATATCTGATTTCGGCAACCGTTCATTTATGAATAAACTTTTTCCCAGAACGCCCTTCTGCCCAGATAACATACGCCTCCCTCCGAAAATCTCATCTTTGTCCGAAAAATAGACAAATTTCAAAATGATTGGAACATTCTTACCAGAATCCTTGCGCGTCGGAAGAAGATGACATGCCTTGATAGCTCCCGGTGATAATACATAGCCACCAAAGTAATGGTAAACTAGGTTGCACATGTCAGAAATCAGGTTGGGGGAGTATGGGTTGATATCAAAATTTGAAACAATTAAGCAATCTTTGCTCGAATATCTTTCCTGAAAATTTACTCGCTTTTCGAGATCAAAAACATTGTTTTTTAAGTCAATTATTTCCTGGGTTCTTTCATTTAATACATTTTCAAGAGAGTCAACTCTTGCCAAAAGGCTAGTGATAATAGGAATCATTAATTTAGGGTCAATAATGGAATCTGGGGGAAGATTTTTCAATAAATCAACGTAATTTTTTGGATTATTTTCGGCCATTTTGATGGTGAAGGTCAAATATTTCAAGCAATAAATCCGAATCAAAAAGCGCAACAATAAGAGCAACTAATCTCTAGCATTCATTTCTCTTTTCTGATATGGAATTTAATTTTCAGATTTTCCAGCGGAATATAAATTTTACCTAGTAATCCAATTTGCTCAATCATAAATTGTTCAGAAATTCAAAGTGCTTTAACGGCATCGATTTTTTTCAAAATTAAGTCAGTTTTTTCTGTTTACTTGCGTTCATTGACTCTTTTCCAACTGTCTATTGGCTTCGTTGGTTTGAACTTAAAAAGACCTAATTTTTCTAAATTAATTTGAGGCTAAGATTTACAAATTCTCTTCTCTGAGATTTCTGGGAAACGAATGTTTTTCAATATTTGATCGTATCAAATCTATTTCAGCCAGAAAACATCCTTGTTGATGCTGAAGACAATGCTAAACTAGCCGACCTCGGAGAGTCCATTGAACTACACGGAGACGACGATATAGTCAAGGGAACGAAAGGAACCCCTGGATTCCTAGCTCCAGAGCTGGTCGATCTGGACTCAACGGACGAAGCGAGAGGTATGCCAGTGGATATCTGGGCACTAGGCGTGACTTTGTATGGATGTGTATTTGGAGACATACCTTTCACAGGGGAAACGAGGATGGAATTGTATGAGAATATAGCGAAGCAGCCCTTGATCATTCCGAAACGACCTCCAGTTTCGGATGAATGCAGAGATATGATTGCACGCCTTCTAGAAAAAGACCCCAAATTAAGGTAACAGCTCATTAAAGCTTTAAGAGGGTGAGTAGAATTCATAAGGGGGCATATTTTAGTTTCCGACTACCTTGGTTACCAGCCATTTTTGGATGGCTGATAAATAATTTTGTCAACTGATAGTTCGAGATAACCTAACTGTTCATCTTGCTTCTGTAAAAAATCCGAGCATGACTTTCCATTTAACCGCAGTTTCTATTGGGGGGAAATGAGTTGAGTTGTTTAATGCCATGATTTACCCTTAGAGCTACCATTCCTACTAGTAAGCGCAATATTCCGTTCAAATTCATTTATAGAATCACGGGAAACCAAATTCGGGAACACCCCTGGCTGATGTCGTACGAGGGAACGATCCCAGCTCACAAGACCAATCGAGGAGCTGTGGTGAGTATCTCGTCGGCCGACATAGAGAACTCAGTCAGCAAAGTGAACACCGCGAACATCATCACCATTGCCAAAATCAAGTCGATGCTGATGAGAAAGAGGTCGAGTAGGTTCTCCAATCTGGTGCCCCCAGGGGGAAGTGGAACTGGGAGTCCATTGAGTCAAATGATGAGTTCGGTCAACTCGCAACAACTTACTGCAAGTACTGCCGACGCCGAATCCAATATTCAAACTAGCACTTCTATGTGACCCAAAATTGATTGATCAAAGTCGAGTTTGAGTTGCCGGGTTAAAATTGTTTGCGACTCGAAACAGTCTAATTCTGATTAGAAGTGTCGCAAACGTCTTACAAATTTCAAATGGCTTGAAACCGGTAACTTGTCATTCTGGGATCCCTTCGGTTGTGTGTAACATACTCTGCGAGAAGATGAGGATAAACTGTAGTTTTCATTGTTGTGCCTATGCTTTGTAAATACGATATTCGTTTGCGCTGGCTTTTTCGTTTTTTTACTAAAGATCCTTACTAGCTAGTCAAGTCTTACTTACTAGTTACTTAACTGCAAAAATCTAAGCTCAGTAGTATTTAAATGCTCAACAATGGTGCAATAATTCATTCAAAAGAGCTCCAAACAACAAGAGTCCTTTTTTTACTCAAAATAACTTGATATCAGAAATGTGCATTCTTTGAATATTTCGGCAATTTTAAAAGAACCATATAGTTTTAGTTTAGTCTCTTCACTATTTGTACATTTTGATACTTTGGAAGTATTGTGACATGGAAAAATCCATATACAAATTGTTTATTAATTTTTAAGTAATAAAAATGTTAAAATCTTGTTTTATCCGACCAATCAATTGCGTTTTTCCAATCAGCTAACAAGGTAGAGATTGATAGAAAGAGTTGTTTCTAGGTTGGTTAGTTTTCAGAAAGAACCATGTCGAATGCGAACAGATCGATTCAAAATCAGAAATCAGCGCGAACAAAATGGCTCATGCACGACTTCAGCTGCTCGGCTCGCAATAACAAAGTGGCCACCTCGGGTCCGCACGACCTGCTAACTAAAGTGGGCTACAGCGACAAGGCGTTGCCGTACGACGTCGTGGCAGCTCCTAGAGATGCGAGTTTGGTGACTAAGAGGTCCTGGGATATTGCACTGAGTCCTCTGAAGCAGGTGCCTCAGAATCTGTTCCTCATGTGGATGAGTGGAAACACTATCTCAATTTTCCCCATCATGATGGTCGGCATGCTTTGTATGCGACCGGTACAGGCACTCTTCAGGTCAGCAAAGTGATCTCTTATGGATTTTTATTTAAGAGAATGGTGGGCGCATGTCAAATAGCCGTGTCTCATCTGTCATTTCGGCCACACCCCCTGCAGATGTTTTTTCCAACGCATTTTGATTTCCACTGAAAGCTCAAAAACGGCTATGATTGAGATTTTTTTTAAAATCAACAAAGGCTGATGGTCGAGAAAAACTTGTATCCAATATTTTTGGTTTTCAGACCAAAATTGATGAAGGCTAACTTAACTCCCCACTTGCTTCTGCTACAATTTTAAGTCATATTTACACCGAAGACTTTAGTCAAGGTGTTATGGTATCGTGTAACGGGGTTTTTTTTTTTTTAATGTTGTCTGTTGTCAAGTGTCGACAAATAACGTCCACAGTTATCAATTATCATGTGGGCTGGACTATATCGCGCTATGTCACGTGATTGCGTATGTTTGTTTCTTTATTTGTTCATCTATATTTATTTAATTATCTGTTCTTCTATTTATTTAATTATGTTTAGTTTGCTTATATTTATTTATAATTGATGTATGTATAATTTTAGCTCACGAACTGTTATTTCAGGCTCTTTGTCAATATAGTAAAATTTTGGTGTATACATGTGTTAGTACGATTTTTAGTTCTAGAAGTGTTATTTTATGATCATCGTTGATATATCAAAAATTTAACCTATACATGTGTTAGTACGATTTTTAGTTCTAGAACTGTTATTTCAGGCTCTTTCTCGATATAGCAAAATTTTGGTGTATACATGTATTAGTACGATTTTTTGTTCTAGAACTGTTATTCTTCAATTATTAGTTGTTCAAGTTGTTTGGTTTTTGCTTCAGTTTCTATGCCTTCGGTGTATTGCGCGTAGCGCCTATGTTCATTCTTGTCTTGATGTTTTTCACCTTACTCAAGTCCCCATTAATTTAAAAAAATTAACACTAAAAATCAAGGAAAGTTTTGTTTGAATTTTCAATAATTTCTCCACGTTGAGTTACTTTTCACATGCACGAGCAAGTCACTTTTAATCGGGTACTAGTCTTTTACCTTGATCAGTTTTTGCAAATCCGTTAGAAATTAAATTTGCTTTTTTGTTCACCTTAACAACTTCCAGGATCCTTTTCACTTGATCTGGAGGTAAGTAATGCGGCGCCTTGGCTCCTTAATGTAAGGCGTGGATTCCTGCCGGTACGTGATTTTTTTCATTGTGTATGAAATCGAATTTTTTTCCAGGAAAAAATAAAATGTCGGGATTTGGCTTAAAGCCTTTTTTTCGGGATTAATATCTAATAATTGAAAATGTCTTCCAATTTAAACAATTTTTATTATAATTGACAAATGTAAACTAAGAAGCGTGGTACGATGGGTTTTCTAGAATTGTATTTCATTTTCAAGCTTTTTTCTACAGGTAATTTTGCCTTTTTTCTGATTTCAGTTGTCTTCAAATTGTTGTGTTCATGCAATGGGCATAGTCATTGCATGACGGGCATTGAAAGTCGCGTTAAACTAGTCGATTTGTAGCACTGTTCGAATCGGGCTCACAGCTGGCCTCATTTTGCAATCGCAAAATTAATTGCAAAAAATTGGCGTAGCGTTGGATGGTGTTTCCTAAACATAGTTTTAAAATCCTAGTAGAGCTGTTGGGAAAAAATGATTTCTGCGTTTTTTCTACGCAAAATTAAAAACACTAACCCTACATGGTCGTCAGTTGAGGTCAACTGATATTTCATTGCGACGTCTCTCCAGTCGGGAATCGAGCTGCAATGCCAAGGTTTCAAATAAAATGTTGTTTACACTTGCGCACTGAAGCGATGTAGTGTTATAGCACGACGTGTTTCTTTGCGAAGTTTTTTTTCTGAGCCATTTAATTAGTATGCGTTATATGCATTTTGATGAGGCGCATTCAGTGCGGTCTAATTAAATAACATGAGTATGTGTGTAATCTACACTACTTAATTGTCGCTCCTCGTCCCCACTTCCGAACTTTGGGGGTGTCTAAAAAAAGATTTAAAACTGTCGCTTAAAAATTCGGTTGAAAAACTGTCGCAGCAAGTATTAGTCTCATTTTTGGAATGTCGTTGAACATACTTCATAGTCCTATTTAGGTCACGGTGATTTTTTTCAGGAAAAGTGTAATAATTTGATCAGGCTCAATTTTTTTCGGGGTTTGACTTCTGATTGTTATTAAGATAAGTTCGTTTCTTTTTTACACAAGCAAAGCTTGTGTGATAGTATGAACTCTCGTTGTTTTTTTCCAAGTGTTCATTTATTGCAGGATACAAGTGTTTTTGATTTACTTATGTAATTTGTAAAATGAAAATCCCCGAATTTGTATTTTTTTCTGCTTGCAAATTTTATTCGGTTAAGTAATCTCTTTTTGTGTTGCTTGGAGGTCAAAATTATTTGCCATGCTTATTTGCTTCTAGATAGACAGGTGGTTGAAGCTTACTTTGAATTTCCACGAAATTTTGTTGACGCCGGTTTAGGTTTATCGGAGATAATCTTAACTTTTTTTTCGCCTTATCTGACTCTCGGTAAAGTATCCCCTACCATGTTTTGAAAATCATTGCAGATAAATGCTCAAATCTTTGCTGAGGTAATTTCAATAAAGTTTTACTGATGCTTTTTACACAAGCAAAGCTTGTGTTATAGTATGAATTCTTTTTTTCCAACCTACATCGCAAATTTTGTTGCGACAAAATGTGTTCGTTTTGATCAATAACCAGCTATTAAGTACAGCCAATGCTAAGGATACTAACACAGACTATTATATTACAAATAACACTAGCTTCAAGGAATCATAGATCTGTAGCGTAGAGGTATGGAAGGCGACCAGCATTAAAATGAGAGGGCTCGAACCGTGGCAGGGTCGGATGTTTTTTTGACTTTATCTAAACTAGTTAAAATACGTCCGCTCTATAAATTGAGGCATGTTAGTTAGTAAATTTCTTTTTTTAAATTGACTGGTACTGCTAATGCGTCATAGTTGGTTTTAGTCATTTAGCAATTAGGTAGACTCATAATTGGCGTGTGTCACTTGAGAAATTATATAGACTCAAAGTTTTACTCGTTCAGTTTTTCCCAGTAGCATTATCGGTCATGAAGGCAAGGAAACAGAAAAAAGTAATTACCTTCAGAATCAACCTTCAGAATCATATTTTTGCTTTTGTGTGGGAAGTGCAGCTTCGCATCTGTGTTAATATCAGTTTAAAAGATAGGCTAACTCATTTATCGAACATCAAAAATTTTTAAGTTCAAGAAAAACGTGATCGACTTCTGGTTTCGATTTTAATTTTCAGATTTTGGAATAAAATGTTTACCTATTGTTTCAGTTTTCTCAATGGGGTCCAGAAAGGGGTCATTGTTATAATAAAAGTGCCGGTCATAATTTTTTCATGAAATTCAAAGATTCTGAAGGTAATTACTTTTTTCTGTTTCCTTGCCTTCATTGTCTCTTTTCCAACGGTCTGTTGGCTCTGTTTAATTATTCAGCTTGTTTTATTTTTTTTTCTGGGAAACGAGCCTATTTTGTTTGAACTGTTTGGGCTAAATTGTTTCTGCGTTATTTAAACTGCATAAGCTATATCTGCTTTGGTAAAGTTGTCGAACATCAAAAATTGTCGAAAAGTTGTCGAACATCGCAATTAATGTTATTTCTATTGCTGGTCATAACAAGCCTCGATGGGGCGGTATTCGGTTTTCGTTTCGAATACAGTTTGAATCTTGGTAACTTAGTTCCGACGCGAGTCAGTCTTAACGTTTTCTTAACTCAGGGACATCCGACGCTAGTTTATACGACTTGTCTTTTGCCTCGCTTTTAATTACCCCGAGGCAATATTTAACGGTTTGGATTCGTCGTTCCCCTGTCTCAATTGCTCCGTTGTGGTCTACTGGTGCGAATGATAACTTAATAAAATTGTTTTTAGAGTGTAGTTACAACTTTTTCCTCTAAAAGTTGTAACTACACTCTAAAAGTTGTAACTACACTCTAACTACACTCTAAAGTGTAGTTACAACTTTTTCCTCTATTTAGATCTCTGTCTGTCCTACACCGAATAATGTTGATAGGATAAGATTAACGCACTCTTAGTTCACGATACAACATACCATTTAGTAAAATGTAGTTTTACGAGAATGCCACTGTGCTACAGAATCTATACGATTCCGAATTTTGACCACAAGGTCAATTAACGATTAATAATCAGGGCTAAACCTCAACTGAAGTTTAAGTAAATAACTTATAATGCATGTCTATTATGAATTTATAAAGGGGTTTCATAATAGGGGATAACGTTTTCTGACTGGCGTCTTTCTGCATTTTTCTCTTTGGACTCACTCCTTGGATCAAATCGATCATTTGGTGCTGCTTTCCTCGCTGTTTCGGTTTGGTTGATCTCGGGAAGTTTTGGAATGCTTGACTTACCAGTTCTGTACCAGTTTTGAAGGTTCGCTGACTCATGTTTGTTGTAGAGAAGGCTGTCGCGATAGGTATTGGGTTACCCAGTGAGTTTGACACAGTGCTGATTCATGTTATGGCTGTTGATTTTCCGGTGTCAATGTCACTCATGTGGTTTGTTTCCTTCCTATTGAAAGCGTCTCTATTTGAAGCGCTCTCAGTGTCCGGGTTTGATGATACATTCGAATATGTGGCTGTTAGCTGCTTGTCTTCGTCCAAGTTCTTTTTCTTCTGATTGGACGTGGTTTGATTGGTTTTCTCGGTACTGGTATCAGCTGGACTCCTACCGTTCGCTTTCCATGTTGCAGAGGTCTCGGTTTTCGCATCGTTTTTTCTCGGGCATTCTTTTTTCGGGCTTTCCTTTCCTGAAGATCCCATGGTTGAAGCGCTACTAGGCCCTGCTAGCGATGCTGTATTTGCGACCTGTGGATCTTCTGAGTCGCCTGGCTCAGTAGTAGACTTGTGGTTCTTTGTTTCTCCTCTCGGGCTATTTTCCTTCCAGCTGCTGTGACTTAATTTACGAATAGGCCTTCTGATTCCTCGGCAAACATAGAGACAGAAAAGGGTAACTTTCGTTGTGGTGCTCAGATTTATGCTCCACGAAGACGCTGAGTCATGTTGGCCTACATCTTCCAGATCCGGGAAGAAGACTAAACCATTTTCTGGTTGTACCAACGCTGAATATGGTGTGTATGTTAATATATTTCTATCTTGTGCTTTTTTTTCTGCAAAGTTACTCTTAGTCTTCTAACTAACTGTTGTTTTACTTCGTACTTGAACTTGTTTAGTTCGGAATTGCTTACTTGTGTATTCGAACCTTGTAGTTAGGTCTCGCTCTGCTCTAGTTTCTTTTTTTGATTTCGGGAAATTGTTATCTTGCATTTGTTTTTGTATGACCATCTAGTCCTCAGATCAACATTTTTGGTGGTGAATGACCTCTGGAGTCAGTGGTGATATCAGTCAGTTTTTTGGTTTCAACTAGATTATTTCACTTTATCGCAATTAATGTTATTTCTATTGCTGGTCATAACAAGCCTCGATGGGGCGGTATTCGGTTTTCGTTTCGAATACAGTTTGAATCTTGGTAACTTAGTTCCGACGCGAGTCAGTCTTAACGTTTTCTTAACTCAGGGACATCCGACGCTAGTTTATACGACTTGTCTTTTGCCTCGCTTTTAATTACCCCGAGGCAATATTTAACGGTTTGGATTCGTCGTTCCCCTGTCTCAATTGCTCCGTTGTGGTCTACCGGTGCGAATGATAACTTAATAAAATTGTTTTTAGAGTGTAGTTACAACTTTTTCCTCTAAAGATTTTTGCTCGGGGGCATTAAATTTTTCTGGCATCCAATATTTGAAATGTATTTTTTCACAAATTATGCGTCTGTGTCTATTAAAAAAACCTTGTCTGTGTTGAATTTTTAAAACTTTTTACCATCGGAGTTTTTTAATTTCTACGATCGGTGTTTTTGATTTTTTTTTCTACCCTACCTGTTTTGTCTTCGTGTTCTGAAGGGAATATAAGCTCAATAGGTATTATAACGCACTCTAATGTCAAGATAATGTCAAGATATTATACTCAGGGTCATGCCTCGATAAGCTGCATAGCTTTTTGCATGATCCTTGGTGGGTTTGATTTGTACATGTGGTTTATTGTTTACCTGTCTGTATAATATTACTCTCCTAAATAAACTATTCAAGATAAAACAAACTGTTTTTTGAAGTTTAGTTTTCGACAATGCAATCTCTGTATTATAGAGTCGTTATGATGGCTGGTGACCACAAGTTCAACTAACAATAGGAATCCTTCAAGGCTAAACATAAACTGACATTTACATAAAATATTAGTATATGTATATCTCTAAAAATCTTTTCCATTCGCAGGAATACCATGCAACCAGCTGGATAACAAGTGAAGCGCATTCATTATCACCTAGTTAAGAGTAATGAACGTAATGAAGACTCTTATATAGGTCTTGGTGATTTCTTTGTTTTTTTTTTTAATAGTCAGTTATTTGGACAGAACTGTTTTGTGGCTTCAGTGTGCAGGCCATGTTCTCTCAGTTCGACTTCCCTCTCGGGCCAGGAGGTGTGCCTGCTGTGATGCAGAAGTGTGTCTACTTGCTGGGACTCCTGTTCAACATACTGTTGGCCATGTACAAGTGCAGTTCCATGGGGCTTCTGCCCCTCAACCAATCAGACTGGATCGGATTCCTCACTCTGCAGACCCCGGTAGAGTTCACACCTGGACGCTACTCATTTTTCACCACCACTACTACATGATGTGCACTTATGAAGTCGTGACATGAAGTAGATTCATTTGTAACATTTGGAAAAAGAATTTTCATGTTTGTTGCAATTAACATTATTTTGTGCTTAAATGCGAGCGTTTCAGGTTCCAAATGTTTCAAATAGATCACTCCGCTATTTAATCAGATAAATAAATTGCAATTGCAATACGTGTTGCTTTGAAAAGTAGTAATGTTACTCATTGTTTAATTTTCCCTAGCGTTTGTATGTTTTTCCTTTAAACTCGATATTCTGAAACGTGGTCTTTGAATCTGGTAAGATATTAAACGCCATCAGCCTTGAACATTTCTGTTGTAAGTACCAATTATAAGCTCAAAAGGAATCCTTGATGCATTTAATGTGATCGAACAAATGACAATGAGAATATGACATAGAAGAAAAACGAAGTACGTGATGAGATGGACGCGATTGGCTCACTGTATTCATTTTTTTGCGATTTTAATAATATAATTTTATGACAAAAACTGTTTTTTGCAGTTTTTGTAATTTTTGGTTTTTCTTTTCATTTGATTTTAATCGCAGTCATTCATTATTGTTCCGACTATTTGAAAAATGGGGAGAAACTTCATATTCGGGTGTTTTAGTTTTTTTGTTTTCCACGCAAAATCATCTACCACAAATAATCATTATCGGAGAGAGTTGAGTGATATATCAAAGTATAGCTCTTTCAGGCGTGATTCGAACAATTTTTCAAAAGTTTCCCAGGTTCGAGAAAAATGGTTTGAAATTTTTGACTTGAGTAAAATAAGTTTTTGGAGGTTTTTAATGCCATTTTGAGAATAAAAATTCAGAAAATTTCTGCAAAACGTCAGATCCTTTTATCACACCACACAAAAAAGACAAATTTGAAAAAAAAATCGTAGATTTTTAAAGACTTTTGGAACACTGTGCTACTTGCACAGTAACCGGCTATCCTTGTTCATTTTTGTATCGCAAGTGATCGGGTTCACCCTTTTGACAAATTGGAAAATGTTTCAAAGCTTCAGTAACTTGATTTAAAAGTCCTATTTTGCGTGCAAAAGTCAAGTTATCAAACCAAAGTGACATGTTTCAAAGTTTCGTCATTTGAACAGCTTGCTTGAAAAATAAATAAATGTTTTATTTGAGTTGCCTGTTGATGCTTGCGATTAGCAAGCGTTATCAAACCGGGATAAAAACTTTCTTTTTCGGTTTACAAATGATTTAAGTGACTCTGTTAAACAAGTTGTTAACCCGAAAAAAAAGTTTTTATTCCGGTTTGATAACGCTTGCTAATAAATCAAGATACAAATGATTTAAGTGACTCTGTTAAACAAGTTGTTATCTTGGTTCATAATAAATTCAAACTTCTATGCGTTACTGGTCAACTTCGCCTTGAGGTACTGAATTTGCCTGAGACGGCGAAGGTCCTGGGTTTGAATTTGACCAGGACCTGTTTTTTTTTCAAACGAAATATAATGTTTCAATGTAAATCGGCAAATTATTTGTCTGCTTATCTCTTGCGGCTAGAAAACTTCAATTGAAAGAACCGGTTGCGATAAGTGTTCCTGCAGAAGCGCTGATTCTTTTTTTGTAAGAGAAATGTTATCTTCTGAAGAAAATTAGTTAAATTTTTTACTCTTCTCACTTATTTTAATTGAGAAAAAACTAAGGTTTTGGGCAAAGTTCAATTTTTGTAATCACAATTTTATTGCCACATCAATATAGCAATTTCATTCAATATCAAACAAGTAGTTCACCTAGTTTTTTCAAAATTTAAATAGTTTTCTACTTGTTTTTATGTTTGTGCTGTATCTCCAGTAGTGCGAAGCTCCGCTTGGCCTCTGTGTTGAAAAATACTTTTGTGCGAACCAATTTGAAGTAACCAAGTCAATAGTTTGTATCCTTTCATTATTTAGTGGCTTTGATTAGTTGCTTGAAAAACTACGTTTTCCTACGCCCCGATTTAATACGCTATTTTAAGAAATCAAGATTTCAAATTTTCCTTGTTGCCTCGTGTGCAAGTGGAGGGGTCACAAAAACGGTGCAAATTTTTACAGAACAGTTTCATTCCTCTGTATCGTAACACTTCGAGCTTGCGAGCGTTAGATTGTTAGTACGAACCTTCTTTTTTTTCTAACCCAACTCGCAAATAAAAGTGATCATTAAAATCGTTCACTTATTTGACGGCACTTTTGCTACAATCACGATCTGTAGGATTGGAAATTTCATAGCATTTGTTCTCTGCTTTATTTGTGGCTAGTGGTTGCAGATTCTCTGGGTCGCAGATCGAAACCGAGATGTAGCCGATTTTTTTTACATATTCGTGGCTCATTTATACTTTTTCTTACTGCTCTTTATAGAGCTGCTTTTTGTCGTGTTTTCGCGAGTGTTTTCTAAGCTCAGCTTTGCTTCTGTGTAATGTGTCGTCTTCTACATATTTTGTCAGTTCTACTTCTAAATCAATTATCCAATTTAAGGCTTCGATAAGTAACATGCTTGTATTGCTCACTAAGATTGGGATGATCTATTTATTGAAGTCAAACTTATTAAGAGTAATGAACGTAGTGAGGACTCTTATAAAGGTCTAAAGTTTTTTTATTTTTTTTTTCTGGAAAAAGTCTCTAAAATTTAATCACGCTCAATTTTGAATTTCGCGGTTTTTTGTGCTTTCTTTGTTCAGTGCATTTTCTTTGTTGTTTAAAGGAAGGCAAAATCAACTATCGAAAAGCAAAAGTGTAAAGACTACGAAAAACGTGATCGACTTCTAATTTTGAAAATGGAAAGTAATTATCAGATTTCTCAGCGAAATATTTTTTTTCTCCTTCTGGTCCAGTTTTCTCAAATTGGGTATATTTTAACAAATTTTAAAGTGTCCATCCTTAATTGTTCTTCAAATTCCAAGAACAATAAGGCCATCTATTTTTTTCATTGAAGTTCAAAAGTTGAGAATTAAAAAAAAAACAATTCAGTTTTTGTTTCAGTTTCATTGCGTTCATTAGTTGGCTATGTTCAAGTTATTATCGGTTAAATAGTACGCTAACATCAATTTGTGCCTCCATAAGGGTCGGTTAAGTCAATGCTTATAAGTCCCTGATAAACATTTTATTTCAGTTGGTGTGTTACTTCAGGGTGTAATTGAAAGCTAAAGGTTATGGTTTATTTATTTTTAAACCAATTTTAAAAGACAACCATACCTCCCTTGTAACCAAGTTCCTAGCCGAAACCCCTCCGTCTAAAGTTATTTGTATCCCTCCCCCAAAGATTGACCCCTCTGAAAAATCTCTCCCACGTTTCACGCGCTGTAAGCTCTCCCAACTCCGGTCTGGCTACAGCCGGCTCCTTAACACTTACCTATCCCGCCTCGACAGCTCCATCTCCCACCTTTGCCCAACCTGTTCCCTTGCCCCCCACACAACATGTCACCTTTTCAACTGCTCCCAAAACCCCTCCCCACTCACCCCAGCAGACCTGTGGCTTCGGCCGGTAGAGGTTGCTAAGTTCCTTGACCTGGAGACAGAAGAGCCCAACCCGACCCGCGTGGGCTAACAACAACAACATGGTTTATTTAAAAAAAAAAAGATTCGTGATCATATCGCTGATAATTCGCGTCGATGATATGTGAGAATAGTGCCTTCTTTATGAAATTTTGGCCATTAATGTTCATAATTTTAGGGTAGTTAGGGGCTTTTGAAAGTTGGTTGTTGCTTACATTTGGTTCTGTTTCTCGTTGTTGTGCTTTATATCTGGCTTCCGTGATCCATTTAATAGCATACAGCTTATCAGCATTTGAATGTACATCTTTTATATATTTAAATGCTATCTTCGCTATATCGCCAAGTTTAAGCATTTTCAACGTAATGTTTCCACATGTTTAAAGAAATTTTTGACGTTTGACGTTTAAGCTATATCATATATTGCACGTTTTTTTTTGACGTTTAAGCTATATCATATATTGCAATGGTCAAAGAATTTTTTCGGTTTTACAATTTGTATTCAGCGTTTATTTCACCGAGTCTGAAATTGGCAGCCCAATAACGGGATGATGTCATGGTTGCCGAATGGGTTGCGAGTTTGGCCTCCAATTATGATTATGAATGCTCAAATTCTTTTTGTATACGAGATACGACGGTTTTTGTGAATTTTTTCAAAAATTTTCCGAAAACTTCAATTACAAAATAATTCACAAAATTTGAAGTTCTCAGCCCTGTAGTTGGGTTCTGTTCAAGTTCTTGTAGTTTTCGAGGTATGACGTGTTTTATAATTTATTTTTAGTTTTTCAGAGAACTTAGATTTTAAAAAATTCGAAAGAATTTAACTTCCCAACCTTGTAGTTGGGTACTGTAAAGGTACTCTCATGAGCTGCAAACTGCAAATCTTGCGTCTTATTATGGCCGCTCAAATGCTCTTAGTTTCCGAGATGTGATGTTTGTTATGTATTTTTTTCAAATTGTTCAATGAACTTAAGATATGAAAATTTTGAAGTTCCCATCTCTATACTGAGGCTTTGTCAGAGTACTACCACGATTTGCGAAGTGTACCTCCAAATGTGATTGCTCAAAATCTTGTAGTTATCGAGATAACGTTTTTTATGATTTTTCAAAAAAAATTTCAGAAAATTTAAAATATTTTTTTTCTTCAAAATTTGAAATTCCCAACCCTGTAGTTGGGGTTGTCAGAGTACTCTCAGGAGCGAATCTTGCCTCTATATATGACTGCTAGAGTCTTGGAAGATTTCGAGATTTGACGTCTTGTATGGTTTTTCAAAAAAAAATTTAAGAAAACTTGTTTGAAATTCCCAGCGGTGTAGTGGGGTACTGTAAGAGTACTCTCAGCAGTTGCAAATATTGCGTCAAAATGCGACTGCTCACTTGCTTTTAGTTTCCGAGATGTGACGTTTCCTAGTTTATTTTGAAACTTTTGAAAGAACTTAAATATAAAAAACTTAAATGATTTTTCAAAATTTGGAAAAAAAAACTTGAATAAAAAGCTTTTTAATTTTTTTTTACTAACCCTGTAATTGAGCGCTGTCAGAGTATACTCAAAGGATACAGATTTTATTTCCGTCAATTGCGGTTTTTTATGAGTTGTTGAAAATTCGAAGCACCGGAGATGCGTTAAACGCTAATATATTTATTAAAATCGGAATATTTTTCGAAGTGGATGTGGCTCAGGTGTATTGTGAAAAAACGAATATTAGAGTATGCATGCATATGATAGTGTTGACAAGATATGATAGGGGTAAAAATTGTCACCATTTTAAGTCGGAGAGTTTGATATGTTGACTTTGAAAAACTTAGTTGAATTTTGATTGCATTTTGTTTGTTTTCCAACTCGAATTTCATACGGATTGGTGCGTTTAAAGATTTTTTTATTGGTCAGTTGAAAGTGGATGTCATAAAAACTACCAAATGTACAAAAAATTCTCCCCAAAGATCTTTTTTGATCTGATGGATTTGGCAAGTTTCAGTTATTATGGTTCGAGTTAGGAAGCGGTATGCCATATGCGAAGTGACATACAATGTGGGCATGCAGTTTAGATATGGGATCACGAAGATTCTCATGTCCAATGTCCTTCTGAACGAGATCAAAGAGGAACACGGGGAGGTGGGCTACGCGAGACTGAAGCCGAATCTCAGCTGTGTTTACTGCAATCAGGCTTGTCATATAAAAGCAAGATAGCCGGTTACTGTGCAAGTAGCGTAGAATGTTCCGTCCACACTCTTTAAAAAAATACAAAAATGTTTTCTCAAGTCGGTGCCGTTTTTTTTCTGCATGTTGTGATTACACTTGCGAAGCAAAGTGTTAGAGTACGAACTTTCTTTTTTTCCAACCTAAGCAAATATTGTTGTGACTAAGTCGCAAATTTTGTCTTGCAAATATTGACTTCAAGCAACAATATTTGCTGCATCGAATTGGCTATACAAAATGTTTGGCAATTTGTTGCAACCTTACAGATTATTGATAACAAGTGCTTTGACATTCGAATAGTTATAAGTTTACAAAGTTGGTTCATTTTTAATTCATCAATTGAACCGATGAAAGCTATTTATTTCAAACAACATAACAATAATAAAATCTGGATTTCAGAAGTTTTCTAACTCAATATATCTCGCAATTTTTTGAAATGCATAATTTATACATAATGTGGCTTTTTGATTTGCGATTTATTACATGCAAAATTGTATTTTTTTGTATTTGGTGCTACTTTTGCTGCATCGAATTGGCATTTTATTAGCATATGTAGCTGTGTTTTTGGTGGCTAGTTTTTGGGGATTTTAAGCATCCGTGGCTGAATGGTTAGTGCGTAAGACTCAAATTTGCTAGATCGCAAATTTTTGCTTATTGGAGTTTTTGCTAAGCCTCGAAATTCGAGGCTTATTTCTACTTTTTTCATGTCACTTGCTAGAGCTGCTTTTTGGACGTGTTTTCGAAAGTGTTTGTGAAGCACAGCTCCGCCTCTGTGTAAAAAAATTTGAACGAAAAAATAGAACTTAGGCATATTTGAGAGTCATAGTAAAATAGGTCAATTGGAAAAGTTTTTCAATATTTTTTTGCGGAAATTTATTAATTTATTAAGTTTTTGATTCCCAAAACTGCGCTAAAAAACTCTAAAAACTACCTTTTCTTCAGTTAAACTAAGTTTTCAACGCTTAAATTAAGCCTAAATAAGCTATTGCAATTACTAACTACCTTACTAATGAGCTCGAAATTAGACCAAAAATTTCAAACCGATTTTCTCGACATTATGAAATTTTTGTTGAATTTTTAAATGTCGTTTGAATCACGACACTGAAAGGGCTTTAATATGTTATATCCCTCAACCCTGTACGATGATTATTTGGGGTAGCTGATTTTGCCTGAAAAACAAAAAGAAAAAAGCTATAACACTCGAACCAAAGTTCCTTCCCATTTTCAATGGTCGGAACAATAAGTGCAAAAGATTCGGACTGACACAATTATTGCAACCGGGTACTGGAATTTCTCAGTTGAGAACTATATACAAAGGATGACTTTATTTGGTGGTCAACTCCAAGTTTAGTGATAGCATTGTTTGAATCCCTATTTTTTGTTCTTAGTATATCGCGTCTGTATCCAGGGCTAAGTGGCTAAAAACCTAATTTATTTTTATTATTTTTCCCCGTTTCATCGATTTTGGTCAGCTTACTTTTAAACACTAGCCAGCTCGCGAACGTAGTGTATTTGTACGAACGTTCTTTTTTCCAACCTAACTCGCCAATAAAAGTTCATTACAATCTTTGCTATAATTGCGACTAGTGTTTGCGATTTATTTAGCGTCCGTGGCTGAGTGGTTAAAGCGTGAGACTCATCATCTCAAAGTCGCAGATCGAAACCGAAACGTAGCAGAATTATTAAATCGAAGCTTATTTCTACTTTTTCGAATTGCTTTTTATAGAGATGCTTTTTGTCGTGTTCTGGCTCGTGTTAGCGAAGAGCAGCTTCAACCCTACATCATGAGAACTGCCCATGAGTTTTTGCATGCAAACATTTTCAGAAACAGCTAATTAGCTTTTTCAATTAATGCCGTTTGCCCCAATTATGCAACTCTCTCAAGCAATGAGCAAATTTTTAGCAATATTAATGAACTTAGACGCCCTAGCCAGCCCGAAAATAGCTTTTTATAAGCCAATATTGTTTTGCTGTTTAATTATTTGAAATTTGTAAAAACAATTTTTTTCTGCCGTCAAACAGCAATTTTAGTTGAAATAACTCAGTTTCTGATTTATTAAGTGTTGATGAATGAAGTAACAATGATGAAAAGGTTTATCGATCTCCCAGCGGAATAGAGTTTTCTTATTGAACCGACCCAGTCTTCTCTTATTGAATTAATTTCAGGAAAAAAAGTGTCAATCGAGTGTCAAAGAGCTTTAAGGCCGGAAGTTTTTTCTTTGCAAAGGCTTCAAATACTTAAAATTTCACCGACATTTTTCCTTGTCTGTTTGCTATGTTATCTACATGCAGTTGTTCTCTGACGTCTAATTTAGCTTTCTTTTTTACACAAGCAATGCTTATGTTATAGTATGAACTATCTTTTTTTTCCAACCTAAGACGCAAATATTGATGCAATAAATTGTGTTTATTTTGAAAGTGTTCATTTTGATCAATAACCAGCTATTAGGTGTAGTCAATGCTAAGGATTTGAACACCGACTGTTATTGATCCGACTTTCGTAACGGAATATTTGTGCTCGGGTGGTTTTTTTTCTTCAGAAAAAATTCGACTTTTTAATTACCCAATTTTGACGGAATCTTTAAAAATATTTCAAAAAGTATTGTTGTCCTGAGCTTAAATTTGGAAAGATATTTCACCTGTGATCATTTTTCGTAAAGTTATGTGGGTTTTAAAATTGGGTTTTAATTTGGGACAATTAACGCGCGATATCTTTCGCGCTATTAACGCGTAAGCGGAGATTTAATCCGTCATACAAATCGTTCCAATTTGGTTGAAGGAAGCCTACTTGCCATAATTGATTTGTTACTAGGAGCGAAATTTATCACTTTGTACTTAATATGGCTTGTGGGGGGATGGTTTTCACAAAAAGTTAAAAATTGAAAAAAAAATTCATTTTATTTTGGTTACATTTAATTTTGTTACATCATGTTATTACTGTTATATAGAGTGCTCTATAAATTGAGGCATGTTAGTTGGTAATTTTTTTTTTCAAATTGACTAGTTATGCTAATGCGTCATAATTGGCGTGCATCACTAAAGAAATTTTGTAGACTCAAAGTTTTACTCATTCAGTTTTTCACAGTAGCATTATCGGTCATAATTTTGCTGGTGTATGCGAAGTGCAACTTCGCCTCTGTGTAGATTTATATTTTTTGGAAGATGAAATTGAATTGGTTACTAGATAGCTGAAATGAGAAAACATTCTGAAAGCTGCAATTTGAGTAGGCAAAAAGCAATGAAAAAAGGAAAAAATTAGAATTTTGAAAATCTTGCTCAAAAGTCTGTAAAATAAAGTCTGCAGAAATGCTCAGATGGCCATTTGTTCTAATATGTTTTAATGACAAGTTTGACTCTAAATAGGCAACTAAAGTGTTCATCATGTTCTACGACCGAGAACACGCCAATATTGTGGAGACGTCAATCGCAAACGTGAAGCAACTAGGCAAGGACTGTCAAGTCAAGTGTAAATTACTCCACTGCTCTCACACTGCGAAACAGGCCCACAAGTTTATCGCCAAATATCAGAGGGACAATTTATTGAAAGAGAGGAAAAATTCGAGGAATATCGAAGAGAGGAAACTGATCATGCAGAAAGTGAGGGAGATGAATGCCACATTGATGACCATTGCTCAACGTGGTTTTGATTTTGACTGAATTTGATTTTTAGTTTGTGTCTCGGTTAGTCTTTTTTCTTTTTCGAACGTTTTAGCCAGAAGAAACAATAGAATCAGCAGTGCAAGCCTCCTTCGAATGTGATCTAAAACTTGCTAAGAACAAGTCTTTCTCACTCGGTGACTTTTCCCCATCAACAACCGCGTGTCTCAGTTATGCACAGCTCTCATCTCATTTGCCTTTTCGCACCTTGTAATCTGCTTGCTACTCTGTAACAGTATTTTTAGTAATCTGCTAATCTGGAACAAAACTTTAGCCCTCATAGTTATTTTTCAGGCAACTTGTTTCTTTTGTTGATTATTTAACTGTGATATTAGCCGATTTTTTTCAATTTTTCTCTGAGGGTTTCAGATTTTATGTTGCTGCTAAATTTCAATAAGATTTTGTTCCGACCACCCTCGTCAAAAAGCCAAAAAAACTTTTGTACTTTTTAAGAAAACCATTTTTGGCTGATAACCTTAAAGTTTTAATAAAGGCGCCTTCTGCAATATATGCTAGTTTTGAGGTCCAAACGCACTTTTTTGGTCAAAATTTTTCAAAAAAATTCCCATAAACTGCTTTTTTAACTTTTTTTAAATATTTGCTTGAGGCGCGAAAATTTAATTCATAATACGTATTGCTTGTGTTCTGAGAGCGCGCGCTCGGGGACTCAATTTAGTCGACCTAAAAAAAGGTCGACAAAATTTTTGCCCCCCCCCCCCTCGAGAAAATCCTAGATCCGCCCCTGAACCACACAATTTGAAACATCAATTTTTGAAAATTATTTTGGTAGGAATTTTCTGTGCTTCTTGTTTCAAAAGAGAATTTTTATTTTTACTGACCCTAAATTCTCAGAAGTTAAAATGTTTTTTTTATTGCATTGATTCATAGGAAATTTTGTAAACTAAATGTTTTCCGTTTTTTGATGATTTCTAATGTCAGTTCAAACTGTGCACAGCAGATAATTTTAGAGAAGCATGGAAAACATAGCTTTATTAGAGCGCCTGGTTTTTACTATTTGAAAACTCAGTGGGCAATTCTAACAGTTAGCGGAATCAGGAAGACGTACAAACCCGTACTTCATAACCTGCTCAGCCAGGGCGACGTCAGTGTAGCAACGGTATCATTGCGGTCATTACCAAATCGTGCGAAACTTTATTTTTTTAAAATTGTGCTGTAAGTTGGGTCAAAACGCCAAAAAAGGCCTGTTTTTCGAAAAATATCAGTGCCTGGCATTTATTTTTATCAGTGCGAGTATCAGTGCCTACGATTTTTCAGACACTGTGGCCACCCTGGAAGTGCGTAATAATCTGAAGACCGGCGATCCCAATCCAGCTGCCGGTTCATTCTTTAATTTTTTGGTCAGACCACTACTTTCAACCAAAGTAGCTTGTTCTAGTGCAAATCATGAGCTTCTGGTTAGAGCTAATAAGACCGTTGAATTTGGGTATATTTCAAACTTTTGTGTCAAACTAGCTTACATTTGTAGTTATCTGCTAATCTGGAACAAAACTTTAGCCCTCATAGTTATTTTTCAGGCAACTTGTTTCTTTTGTTGATTATTTAACTGTGATATTAGCCGATTTTTTTTCAATTTTTCTCTGAGGGTTTCAGATTTTATGTTGCTGCTAAATTTCAATAAGATTTTGTTCCGACCACCCTCGTCAAAAAGCCAAAAAACTTTTGTACTTTTTAAGAAAACCATTTTTGGCTGATAACCCTAAAGTTTTAATAAAGGCGACTTTTGCAATATATGCTAGTTTTGAGGTCCAAACGCACTTTTTTGGTCAAAATTTTTCAAAAAATTCCCATAAACTGCTTTTTTAACTTTTTTAAAATATTTGCTTGAGGCGCGAAAATTTAATTCATAATTTGAAGGAATTTTCTGTGCTTCTTGTTTCAAAAGAGAATTTTTATTTTTACTGACCCCAAATTCTCAGAAGTTAAAATGTTTTTTATTGCATTGATTCATAGGATATTTGTAAACTAAATGTTTGCCGTTTTTTGATGATTTCTAATGTCAGTTCAAACTGTGCACAGCAGATAATTTTAGAGAAGCATGGAAAACATAGCTTTATTAGAGCGCCTGGTTTTTACTATTTGAAAACTCAGTGGGCAATTCTAACAGTTAGCGCAATCAGGAAGACGTACAAACCCGTACTTCATAACCTGCTCAGCCAGGGCGACGTCAGTGTAGCGACGGTATCAGTGCGGTCATTACCAAATCGTGCGAAACTTTATTTTTAAAAATTGTGCTGTAAGTTGGGTCAAAAGGCCAAAAAAGTGCGTTCATACATTTTAATGCATTTATGAATGCACTAGGGTATATATGCACTTTTTGAGTTCAGTTGAAATTAATCTGCTGACAGTGACGTAAATAGCACTCTCCAAATAAATACAAACGTGGAAATGGCGCAAAAAAAAATGTGATTGAATTCTAGTTTGGAAAGTGGAATTTAATTTTAAGATTTCCAGCGAAATAAAAACTTTACCTATTGATCTAGTTTAAGTTGTTAATGTTTTCGAAAAAGCGCCAATCATAAATTGTTCTAAAATTCAAAGAACTTAAAGGGCATCTATTTTTTTTTTGAAATTCAATAAGATTTTTCAACAAAGTCCGCGTTTTTTTCCGGTTTACTTGCGTTCATTACTCTTTTCCAACTGTCATTTGGCTGTGTTATTTTGACTTTTGCTTAATCATTTTTTTTAGACTTACTTGAAATAAGTGATGTAAACGGAATTATCTTCGATGTCGCTGAAAACTGAATGTGGCTCTTTTCCAGTCCCCCCTTTGATTTTTTTGGAATCTTGATATATGAAAACTTATTTAAAATGATTTTTCATGTTATAAACTGTATTAAAACGTGTCAGCGTGAACAGGTGAACAATATTTCACAACATTTCTGACATGGAAAATGCCGTGGGAAACTGGAAAAGAGCCCTGAATTTTCTCAAGTCATTTGTAGATATTTTGTCGAAATTATTGTGGTATTGTGTACAATCAGTAATCAGGGGCGGATCTAGGATTTTCTCGAAGGGAGGGGGGTGGCGGATTTTCAACGAGTTTTCGAAATTTTGACCACTTTTTTTATGTCGACCAAATTGATTTTCCGAGCTCTCCTAAAGCAGTAAAAAGACGCTGTTTTGGCCAAATTTTCAGCGCCGCAGGCAAATTCACAAAAAAAACAGGGCAAAAAAGCCTTTTTGATAATTTTTGACAAAAAATCGCGTTTTTTTGGCGCGCGCTTACCCACAAAATTAGTATATATTGGCGCCAAAGGCGCCTTTAGAAAAATTATAGGGTCGGTCTGCCAAAAATGGATTTCTTACAGAGTACCAAAGGGGGGACCCTTTGGGTCAGCAGGGGTTGAATCCCTAAGGGAGGGGCGTCCGCCCCCTCCCCCCTAAATCCGCCCCTGTGTATAATTGATTGTGGTATCATATTGCAAATTTTTCAGTGGTAATTCAGGTTCCAAGATGCCTCAAATTCAAGCTATTTCTAAAAATTGCAGTTTTTCAGCGCGCGCACCTAACGGCGACTTTAGAAAAAAAATTTGGTTGGTCGGCCTAATATGGATGTCAATTAAAATATCAAAAGGGAGACTTTTTTGATTGGCAAAAGAGTCGAATCCCTGAGCCCCCCCCCCTATTAAATCCGCCCCTGTTTCTGTATATAACTAAGTTACGATCCCAAGATGTTTTTCATATAAATTTTTCTAGATCCGAGTGCAAGAAAAAATCCTTCAGTACAATTGCCTGAATCCGATGTTCGCAAAGTCGAGTTTCATTGCAAATAATAACTCAGCAGCATTCTACGTGAAAGTGTTGATCATTCTAGTCTCAAGTGGGACTTAAAATTGCAAAGATTTTTTATGAAATCATATTTTTCTGCTCAACTTGTGTCTGCTCAAAGATTGCCGGCTTTATTTCCTCTTCGTAAGTTTTTTTCCGTTGCTAATTTATTTTTCAAATTTGGCATGTTAGCCTAGAATGAACCTCTATCGAGACATGCGAAAATTTGATTTTTTTGGAAGAACTAGTTTTTTCCAATGTTGCTAATTTTCTTGAGAGGGGGCCGTTTTTCAAAAACTTTCAATTTTCGAAAATTTAGTCAAACTTTTTTTGTAAGGTCGATCAAATTGATTTTCCGAGCAACTCGATAATTTTTTCGACTTATGTTTTTTATGTTTGTTTAATCGCAAGTAGTGCGAAGCTCCGCTTAGCCTCTGTGTACAGAATTTCAACTCGATGTTTTACAGAAATCTAATTGATTCCAAGCTCTTTCGTCTGTGTTGAAGATGCTTCGCAAGTTCTAATCATTGCACAAACTATATTGATCCATCCATCTTGTCACTAACCTATTCTAGCTAGTTATTTGAAAGTAAACTGACCTGAGATGTACAGGGTTATCAGCAGATATAATGTAACTAGCTAGCTGTTTGGAATTTGGAACCCATAATTCGGGTTTGATCAAATGCCAATAGAGGGCGAATTGCTCTCTGAAACAATGATTATTTTGTAGAACGAATGGAGTGGTATGAATTTTCTGTGTGACGTAACTTGAAATCCTTCAAATTTTCTTCATTGTTTCTCTGTTTCAGATTTTCCCATGCAAGTTTATCTCGCAACTGTTAAATGCAGTTTTCGCGTTTATACGAAAGTCAATTGAAGAGAAACTTTATCGATTCGGAAATTTATTCCCGAAAATTATTCATACACATCGATTAGTTTTTGCTTCATATCAGACTTGCCTTATACAACCAACTTAAATCATGGGTGAAATAGCTCAAATAGTTCAAATCTAGATTTTGCGATTGTCCAATTTAGGGATATCTCAATTTTTGGGGCTTCAACTATCTGTTATTCTATCAACTTGGTTAAACGAGTGCGCGTTTATGTTTGTCGGCTAAAGTGTCCACCACAATGGCGGAGCGCAATATCGTTGGAAAGTCGCCGATGGATGTGAGAGCTCAGGGGACCCCCTGTCTCACTGACGGGGACGAAAGGCGAAGAATGGTATTGGAACGCAAAGCTCAGCGCGACATGGAAAAACACGAAAAGCTGATTCAGAAGCTAACTCTAGTCGAAGATCGGAGACAAGCTGTGATTGATGAGCGGAAGAAGCGCGCGTTGGAAGCGGCCGAAAGATTGAATGAAAGACTTGCTCAAGTAAGCGCGAATCGCAGGCAGAAAGAAGAAAATGACCGAATGAAACGAGTATCTGCGATTCAAAGAAGTGAACAGAATTCAGAAAGGGCCGATAAGATGAAAAGAAGACACACATTACCGCGAAGCATGAGTATGAGAACGGGAAATCAAGCGAACCAATCTCCAAGAGTACTTCCAAACGGTGACGCCCAGGAATCGCATCAGAATGGACATGCTTCCAGAGTAGCCAGGAACCGAATGTCTATGCCTTCCCCTCCCAATGAATTCTCCGCACCTTCCGCAGTCCAGAGGTCGATAAGTGCAAGATACCGGTCTGCGCAAGCGCTTTCAAACGGGGCTCCGAGACCAGTTAAATCAACTAGTAGGCCGACTCAGAGTGTAACAGCGTCAACACTTTCAAGATCAAAAAGTCAGCGAGTAGTGTCTTCGAGTAGCAAATCAGCCAGCGGTACCGCAAGTTCAGTATCTGCTTCGTCTTCTCTAAGAACCAGTGCAGAATCCAAGGTCAAATTTGGCAACCCGGTCGATAAAAAGGTTATGTCGACCAAATTGATTTTCCGAGCTCTCCTAAAGCAGTAAAAAGACGCTGTTTTGGCCAAATTTTCAGCGCCGCAGGCAAATTCACAAAAAAAAACAGGGCAAAAAAGCCTTTTTGATAATTTTTGACAAAAAATCGCGTTTTTTTTGGCGCGCGCTTACCCACAAAATTAGTATATATTGGCGCCAAAGGCGCCTTTAGAAAAATTATAGGGTCGGTCTGCCAAAAATGGATTTCTTACAGAGTACCAAAGGGGGGACCCTTTGGGTCAGCAGGGGTTGAATCCCTAAGGGAGGGGCGTCCGCCCCCTAAATCCGCCCCTGTGTATAATTGATTGTGGTATCATATTGCAAATTTTTCAGTGGTAATTCAGGTTCCAAGATGCCTCAAATTCAAGCTATTTCTAGCTGTGTTAAATAAATATAAAATAGCAGAAACAAGACTGCGACTGCTCGTATATCAGGGTAAAGCCTTGAATGTTCCGACTGTCCCTTAATTAATATCGAATAGTTTTTGGGAAAAGAAAATATTGAAAACCTATACATATTGGACAACAAAAAAATACGACCAATTAGCTAGCCTCAATTCAGTTTGGAACGATTTTGTTGTGCGGGATAATTCGCCACGCATAAATAATTCGCGCTACGCTCTCAGAATTCTGAATAAACTCTTCTAAGGGCGCATAATTTAGTCCAGAACATGGCAAATTTGGCAATTTTCAAACCCCAAGAACTTAACAAAAAATAATCGGAGGTGAATATCTTTTTACATTTGAACTCAATATCTTCAATGGGATTTAAAAAATTTTTGCTGAAATTTATTATTTCGATCGGTGAAAATTGACTGAATAAAAAACACACCGAGTATAAATATTCCGTTTTCTTCGAAAGTCGGAACAAAAAATAGAAAACTAGCTTGTGTTCTGAAAACTGAATTTACTATCGTTCGGTGAACATCAATTGGAGTTCGTTTGGATTGAATAGCATTTCAGTGAAACATTTCACATTGTGTTCTTTTCCCTTTTCGTATCGTATTTCTTTGTATTCTAAGCAGGGCCGTTCGCTGAGTGACACAATTTTTTTTTCAGAAAAGGTATAAAACCTGGTTAGCTCTGTTGCTGTGCTTAATTAACTCATCCCAATATCTATAAATGTAACAATTTTTTGTTTATTTTACTAGCTGAAATCTGATTGACTAGCAAGTGCTCAAGAGTCAATTTCAAATATCAGTTGTTGGTGTATGAATTTCAAAGAAGAAAGCTCAAGAGCGTAGTGTTATACAGTCAGTCCACTTTTTCTACCAATTTTTTTCCAGTGTTTTTAGGTACCTTAAATGGCACTCAGACATTCAGCATTTTGCCTTGAAATGAGTAGTCTTACGTTTGAAAATGATTTTATTTCAAAGCATTTGTCTAATTATTTTTTTTTGTTTTTCCCTGCATTGAGCTAGCAAAGTGCTGCTACTTTTCTGTGCAGGGCGGATCTAAGATTTTCTCGAGAGGGGCGGTTTTTCAAAAACTTTCAATTTTCGAAAATTTTGTCAAACGTTTTTGTAAGGGCGATCAAATTGATTTTCCGAGCGCTCCCAGAACACTATACAAACCATATTTGACAAAAAAATTTTTGAAAAAACAGGTCAAAAATGCCATTTTGGAAAATTTCGACTAAAAATTGCAGTTTTTCAGCGCGCGCACCTAACGGCGACTTTAGAAAAAAAATTTGGTTGGTCGGCCTAATATGGATGTCAATTAAAATATCAAAAGGGAGACTTTTTTGATTGGCAAAAGAGTCGAATCCCTGAGCCCCCCCCCCCTATTAAATCCGCCCCTGTTTCTGTATATAACTAAGTTACGATCCCAAGATGTTTTTCATATAAATTTTTCTAGATCCGAGTGCAAGAAAAAATCCTTCAGTACAATTGCCTGAATCCGATGTTCGCAAAGTCGAGTTTCATTGCAAATAATAACTCAGCAGCATTCTACGTGAAAGTGTTGATCATTCTAGTCTCAAGTGGGACTTAAAATTGCAAAGATTTTTTATGAAATCATATTTTTCTGCTCAACTTGTGTCTGCTCAAAGATTGCCGGCTTTATTTCCTCTTCGTAAGTTTTTTTCCGTTGCTAATTTATTTTTCAAATTTGGCATGTTAGCCTAGAATGAACCTCTATCGAGACATGCGAAAATTTGATTTTTTTGGAAGAACTAGTTTTTTCCAATGTTGCTAATTTTCTTGAGAGGGGGCCGTTTTTCAAAAACTTTCAATTTTCGAAAATTTAGTCAAACTTTTTTTGTAAGGTCGATCAAATTGATTTTCCGAGCAACTCGATAATTTTTTCGACTTATGTTTTTTATGTTTGTTTAATCGCAAGTAGTGCGAAGCTCCGCTTAGCCTCTGTGTACAGAATTTCAACTCGATGTTTTACAGAAATCTAATTGATTCCAAGCTCTTTCGTCTGTGTTGAAGATGCTTCGCAAGTTCTAATCATTGCACAAACTATATTGATCCATCCATCTTGTCACTAACCTATTCTAGCTAGTTATTTGAAAGTAAACTGACCTGAGATGTACAGGGTTATCAGCAGATATAATGTAACTAGCTAGCTGTTTGGAATTTGGAACCCATAATTCGGGTTTGATCAAATGCCAATAGAGGGCGAATTGCTCTCTGAAACAATGATTATTTTGTAGAACGAATGGAGTGGTATGAATTTTCTGTGTGACGTAACTTGAAATCCTTCAAATTTTCTTCATTGTTTCTCTGTTTCAGATTTTCCCATGCAAGTTTATCTCGCAACTGTTAAATGCAGTTTTCGCGTTTATACGAAAGTCAATTGAAGAGAAACTTTATCGATTCGGAAATTTATTCCCGAAAATTATTCATACACATCGATTAGTTTTTGCTTCATATCAGACTTGCCTTATACAACCAACTTAAATCATGGGTGAAATAGCTCAAATAGTTCAAATCTAGATTTTGCGATTGTCCAATTTAGGGATATCTCAATTTTTGGGGCTTCAACTATCTGTTATTCTATCAACTTGGTTAAACGAGTGCGCGTTTATGTTTGTCGGCTAAAGTGTCCACCACAATGGCGGAGCGCAATATCGTTGGAAAGTCGCCGATGGATGTGAGAGCTCAGGGGACCCCCTGTCTCACTGACGGGGACGAAAGGCGAAGAATGGTATTGGAACGCAAAGCTCAGCGCGACATGGAAAAACACGAAAAGCTGATTCAGAAGCTAACTCTAGTCGAAGATCGGAGACAAGCTGTGATTGATGAGCGGAAGAAGCGCGCGTTGGAAGCGGCCGAAAGATTGAATGAAAGACTTGCTCAAGTAAGCGCGAATCGCAGGCAGAAAGAAGAAAATGACCGAATGAAACGAGTATCTGCGATTCAAAGAAGTGAACAGAATTCAGAAAGGGCCGATAAGATGAAAAGAAGACACACATTACCGCGAAGCATGAGTATGAGAACGGGAAATCAAGCGAACCAATCTCCAAGAGTACTTCCAAACGGTGACGCCCAGGAATCGCATCAGAATGGACATGCTTCCAGAGTTGCCAGGAACCGAATGTCTATGCCTTCCCCTCCCAATGAATTCTCCGCACCTTCCGCAGTCCAGAGGTCGATAAGTGCAAGATACCGGTCTGCGCAAGCGCTTTCAAACGGGGCTCCGAGACCAGTTAAATCAACTAGTAGGCCGACTCAGAGTGTAACAGCGTCAACACTTTCAAGATCAAAAAGTCAGCGAGTAGTGTCTTCGAGTAGCAAATCAGCCAGCGGTACCGCAAGTTCAGTATCTGCTTCGTCTTCTCTAAGAACCAGTGCAGAATCCAAGGTCAAATTTGGCAACCCGGTCGATAAAAAGGTTGATTATGTGACTGAAAACGAGAAAGCAACATTTAGACGCGCGCAGTCAGTTTCATTGAAAAGGAAGCCGATCCCCCCGCGTGAAGTGAAGCAACCTCAAGATAAACCTTCGAAGCCTGCCCATAAGATGCCTTTAACTAGTACGCCTAAACCAGGAGGAAAATTCCAAGCTGCGAAACCAGATGTGGAGCCGACACCCAAGGCTCCTACTCAGACAAAGACAGAAGAAGCTCCAGAGCCTAAAGAGGTATCGGCCGCTGAAATAGAATTCAAGAAAAAACTAGCGGAAAAGAGAAAAATGGCTCGCGAAAACCAAATGAAGAAAGAAAATGAAGCGCTTAAAGTTACATACGAACCAGAAAAAAGTGCACTGCTTGTGAAGCCAGAAGAAACTGAAGAAAAGAGTGAAAGTTTAGCTTTAGACTTAGTAAATTCAGGGCAAGAAAATAATGCTGTTATTGAAACTGAATCGGCATCGTCTGAAGTTGAGAAGAATGCAGATGCCTCTCAAGTAGTTTCGGAAAGTGACGCGAAGTCCTCCACTGAGAACAGTCCTCGCGATGGCGAAACAGAAGAAGAGCGAGAAGAGAAAAAACGCCGAGAGCGGGAACTGAAAGTGGCCGAGCGAATTAAACAAATGGAGGCCGAACGAGAAAAGGAACGACTTAAAACCGAAGCTGAAAACGAGGCTAAGTTACGTAATGAGGAGATGGAGCGGGAACGAATTGCTCGCGAGGCTGAGCTAGAAAAGCAACGGAAACAGGAGGAAGAGGAACGAGCTGCGAGGAAAGCGAAACTAGAAGCAATTATGGCTCGTACTCGAGTCGGAAATACGAATCTATCGCGAGCAGTGGCGAGTTCAATCGTGACGTCGCATACGCAAAAAGAAGAAGAACGAGTGACAGACGACGACGCTGCGTCGACCGCCGAGTCGTGTAACCCGACATCAACTGGTTTAGAGGTCAGAAAAGTCGAGAATGACTCGGAAAATGTAATAACCGACTCACAAAATGAGGGTGAAATTGAGTCGAAGTTAGCGCACGAAGGTTCACCGTTAGACAACCCAGTTAAAAGTGGTGCTTATATTCATTCTGCTTCCACGACAGTCGAGCATGAAAGTCCTGGTGGTTCCAAAATAGCAAGCCCTTCAGGCGAGGACAATCTTTCACCTGTACCCGAAAGGCATAAAACGCTATCGAATGAGGACAAAAACTTCGAACAAGTAATTTTACTGAATGAAGAAAATGGAGCGAAACTAGCAGCTAATAGCGACAATAATGCGGATAGTTTGCCCAATTCGGGTTTAGAAAGCAGTGAGTTTCTAGGTGACACCAAAACGAACAGCGAGAGTTTGAAATCAGGGACTGTTACTGAGAACGACAATGCAGAACATAGCCAATTTCCGTTCTGATACAACTCACTTTTTAATTTAAATGTTTCGATAATTTGCAATTATGAATCAGCGATTTGAGATTGGTGGTCGTTAATAATAGTATAGCAGTGCTTTACATATAGATTCTTCTAAGTTGAGTTTTTTTAGCGGTTGCGTTGTTTTAGTTGTTAATATAGGGTGCTCTCTATTTATACCATATCTTCACATTAGTATCGCATAGTAAATCACCTCCCTCCTCTGCCGAATCTACTGCAAATGGTGGCTATATTTTTCTAAATGGCAAATAGATACCAATGAAATCACCCTTCGTCTGTGATCTTTCGAGTTCCGTCTTTTCATGCGAAAGCTTGATGTCGCTTGCAGGGCTTGCTTCTCGCTTCCTTCAATCACTTCGAAAGGTTGCAATGATGAGTTAAAATTCTGCCTTAAATGACATATTATATTGAAGATATATCAATACTTACTTGCCTCCAATACATTTTGTAATTTAAGTAAATTGGAGTTTTTTTTGTCATAACACGTCGAAAATCAGTTTTAAATTATTTGACAGAGTCGTAAATGTTTGACCTCCAATCATCTTTAATGGCTGATATTGTTTCCTCTAATTTTCATCGTTGTTGCAATAATTCTGCTTTTGAGCATAATATCCTTCTAAATGCATAATTTGTGATTATTAGCCTAGTGTAAATCAGTTAAACAGATCAGTTTTATATGAAACCAGTTCACCATTAGTCGCTTTAGAAAATGAAATTAAAGAGAAGTCCTGTTGCTTTTTTACTCTGCAGTGAATTCAGTTCGCAGTGGCCTTGTGTTGAATTTGATCGAATTTGAGTGCGCTATTTCGGTTATACATTGATTATGAAGGGGCATTTTCTATCATACTGTAATTGTTCGACAGCTAGATCAATGAAATTTTACTTTTAACGCAATTTTTCTTTTAGTTATTGAAAAAGCGAAGGAGGGTTCAACAGAAAAAATACAACATGATTGTTCTTTGATACTGATGAAAGTCAACTGTCAGTTTTTTGATAGTCGATTCGAACCAATGCTCAAACTATCAATGGAATGGAAGTTTTAGTAGTTTTCAGTGCATCATGTAAATGAGTTGAACTTCAACGGCTTATGCTTAGTATTGAGGCATCAAAACATTTAATAAAGGCGACACAATATCTATATTTAACCTCAAGTTCAATTTAAAGTCTTCAGTTCATTTTTGAACCACAATTTATGAAAGTCCTTGAATTCGTGATTCTGATTCGGATTCCAAAAAAAATTGCAAAAAAATTTACCAAGGTTTTGAAAAATTTGTCTGGATTTTTCCGTTGTTCAGACTAAATTACAGGAAATATCATGAAACTGAACTCACCAATTGGTTTTTCTGATTTTAGCGGTATTTCGCTATTAGGAAAGCTCAGGTTCGCTTTTTTGTACCCAATTCCACCTTGAAAAAAAATTCCGAGAAAAAAGAAATCTAAAGCTTTAAATTTTTACCGTTGAGAAAGCAACTGTACTGCAACCGGGTAGTCGTTTTTTCCCTTAAATAACTTGGTTTACTGAATAGTCAAAATTAGAAATGCTAATTTTAGGTTTAGCTCATTATGAGTTAAATATCTTTGCGCCTCTTGTGGAGGTAACGAATATGCCTGGGACGGCAACGGTCCCGGGTTCAAATCTGACAGGGCCAGTATTTTTTAGTTAAGAAATATTCCATTTCAAGAAAAATTGTTGGCTTTTTGTTCCGACCCTTTAAAAAATGAGGAGAAGTTTTGTATTAGGGTGTTTTAGTTTTTTTGTTTTACACGAAATGTCGGCTACCACAAATAATCATCAGAAAGAGTTGAATGATATATCATTTTAAAGCACTTTCAGTCGTGATTCGAAAAACATTTTAAATGTTCAAAAAACTTTCACCTTGTTGAGAAGATCCAGTTTGAAATTTTTGATTGTTCTTCTTATTCGGCGAGCAGGCTTACAATAGCTTAATTTTGATTAGGCGTTTATTTTGATAGCTTAAAAGCTTACAATTGCCTAATATCAGCGGTTAAAATTTAAATTTTCCTAACTAAAGTTGGTTTTTCTTAGTATTTTAGCGCTTTTTTGGAAACAAAAACGTTAAAAAATCACAATTTGCTTTTATTTTTTTTGCTGTTCTAGTAATTTTTCTACAAAAAATTCCAATTTGCTCATTTCACTATGACTGTCGAATATGTCTAATTTCTAGTTTTTTGTTCAGATCCTTTAATCACACCACGCAGAAAAAAAACGACTTAACTTTGAAAAAAAAATTGAGACCATTGTGGGAACCTACTGTGCTACTTGCACAGTAACCGCTATCCTTGTTATTTGTCTGCTTATGTTTTGTCGGCTAAGTTACCGCGTCACAGATTAGCTTTTTTCTCGTTGTATTCAAGTTACATTGTAATTGATTTTAGTGTTTTGATTTACTTCCTCGGTAATCACAAGAAGCAATATAAGGTCACTAATCCGATAATATATGGGCCGAAATCAAATAAATAAAACTAAGGTTTTGCGCAAAAAAGTATACTAGTCAAGGTTGTAATGACTTGTATAGTTTTTTTTGCGTAAAATCTTCGTTTTTTTAAAATTGGTTTCGGCCTATATATTATCGGATTAGTGACCTTATATTGCGTCTTGTGATTACCGAAGAAACTGTTTGTGTGCGTGTGTGGGTATTTTGATTGGGAGAGGGCATTTTTCACCCTTTAGTGTTTTCTTCCAAATTCTTTTTTCTTTCTTTTTTCAACTAGCTTTATTCATTTTGATAGATCTAGTTTTTAGGCAGCTCCATATTTTTTTGACTTCTTTTTTTTCGATTAATTTCCCGTTGTATAGCGAATTTCCCGAAAATATTCTCTGTGTAAAGTAAAAACTTTTTTTTTGGATTTTCCGTGCTCAAATCAATGTGGTCGAACATTGTGCTACTTCCATAGGAATCGGATATTCTTAATTGCACACAAAACGAAAGGCAAAGTCAATACCATTTTATGTTGCCTGAAAAAATAATAATTTTAAATATCGATTCGATTCTGAAAAAATGGCACTTAATTGTAATATTGCTGTCGAAGTGTTCTCGGAAAAACCAAGTGTGTAATTGGTGGTCTCTAAATGTTTTTTCTCCACGATGTGATCAATTTTTTTTGGTACTTTTTGCTCATATAATAATTGCAAATTGTTGGAACAACTGCAAACGAACGACTAATTTATCTTCGTCTTGTTCTTTATTTTTTAAAATGATTGAAACAAGCAGGTCATGAAGAAAAAATGAATTTCTTGTGTTGCTAAATCATTTCAAAATATAGCAATCTAATTCAGGGAGAACTGCGGCCGAATCTATTGGAATTGCAGAACCTAAATACATAGAATCTGACACATTAATTAATGGTGTAAATTCAGAATTACAAAAACGAACTTTGAGTGAAGTGAAAATCACGATCCGTTTTTTTGATGAAATTTTTGTTCGGATGATGACAAAGTTTTGATAACGTCGATGATATTTCTGATTATGTACAACAATTTAGAGAAGATTTTTGCAAAAACATTTGACGGTTCTTTGTTTATATTTAACTGAATTCGATGAATTTTCTTCTAAAGTTTTTGCTATTAAAGTTTGCAGAAATTAACTAAACGAAGCCGCCCTTATTGAATTCACGTGCAAAACTTGATTTCAAGGGCTACCGCCTCTTAAATCTACCTCGTACCTCAAACATCCCTGACACCAATGGAATCGGATGGAGGCTATTTGAGCAACGAACAGATATGCAGCGAAAACCATTGAATAAGTACAAGTATGGACTTCAAATCACCAAATAGAATTTGAAACCCCAAACAATTGCATTGTAAACCGCTTCCTAATATCAACGCTACGCAAGGCACAAGCATGTCGCTGCAACTACGTTTTTAACGATGTCGTCTGCTTCAAATAAACAAGTCAAGAAAATTATGAGCCATTGAAGCTGATGAATAACCATTAGTGAGGTGAGTTTTTATACTTTAAATTGTGATATTATTAACAAAACTAGACACAAAATGGTGAGCATTTTTAAATTAAAACACCAGCAAGAAAAAAAATTTCGTTTAATAAACAGTTAAAATACTAAATGGAGAGTAACTCTGTGATATCAGTAGCTCAGCATGATCGATGAATGAGAACCTGACAGCTATCTGGGGTCATACTCTTCACATTGACGCCCTTGCGTGTGCAGCGGACAGCTGAAAACAAAAGCATCATCAGTATCACATTTTTTCAGTATACTCTTAATTAAAGGACGCAACTTAGTTGTGTGTAACTGTATTTAAAAGCGTTCCTTAATCAGTATCAAATATTTCATTTTTTCAGAAAAAATTTTGATCAAAGCCTTCCGAAAAGTGCCCGAAAAGGTTTCGTTTCAATTTATCAAATGTTTGTACTTGTCATCATTAAAACGTTTTTCAAGCTATTCGAAGAAAATTTGAAACGACTGCTCGCTAGCATCAGGGTGGAATCCTACATGTTGGGAGTTTTTTAGTATGTCTGAAATATTCGCTGGCCGTAAATTTGTTGTTGGTTCATTATCCCGGCAACTAATACTTTTAAAAAAACGATTGAAATGGCTTAACTTTGAATCGAAAAAAATTGTTTGAGCGTGTTGAAATTCAGATAACGTAACCGCGCTCAAATAATTTGCGCTTATATGGTGAGCATCTTTGACAAATGCATAACAGCGCGTATAACTCAAAGCTGTGTTAATTTACCCTTTTATCAATCCTTTAAAGTGTTACAAAAATTATATTTCCTCAAGCAAAATTGACCACAAGCGAAATTATATTTCTACTTTTTGAGCTCAAGATTACCAATCATCGATGGAATTTGAGAGTTATCAGTCAAAAATTATTTTAATTACCAGAAAATTTTTGAAAGATAAATTAACCTAAGGAAAACAAAACCGAACTTGGTTCAAAAGTCAAAACAAAGACGTTGTTTTTGCGTTCCGTCAAAATCTAAGAAAAAATATTTCGTCTCGATCAAGTTGATTTGCGTACAGTGCTGTAAATATTCCGAGATTTCGTAGATGATAGCTACGCATGGTCTTTATGTTTGCTTATTTGGTCAAATAGTCTAAAAAAACGCGCAACTTTCGAAAACTTTTAAATGAAAGGCTCGAAATTCTTTTCAAATTGTCAATCAGAGTGATGCGATTTTTCACGCTTGCAATTTGCAAGCGATATTCAATAAGAATATACAATTTTTTGTGATAAGAATTTGTTTGGCAGAATTTGAGGTAACAACTTGTTCAATCATTGCATATCTTGGTTCATTGTACCTGCAATTAACAAGCGTTATCCAATCGGAATATTGACTTTTTCGGGTTAACTTATTTTAACAAAACCACTAAAATCATTTGACACTTCAGTGGATATACAAAAAAATCAAGGAAGTTATCCGCGCATATAAATTTTTTTGTGAGTTTCCGGAGGGTGAGAGAATAACAATAAGTTTCAGCTTTGAATTTTTTTCTAATGCCGGTGATTATTTTTTAAACCAGTATCCTCAAAAAAGCATCGTTACTTGCAAATGTTCGAAGTTTTGCAGTTGTGATTTTTTGAATTTTTTCTGTTTGGTAGCTTTCAATGCTATTTTTATGTAGTACCGCAAGTGGCCCGAAGCTCTGCTTTATTTTTTTGTATTGAGAAAAAGTTAATTTCTATGAGGCTACCCAAAATCATCAAGTCAATCCAAGTTTCATCAACAGTTATGCCAAAACTAACAAATATGTTCAATTCTCAGCAAATATCATTAGTGAAAGGCAAACGCAAACAAAAATACTTATTGCTGATGCAGATTTGTTTCTGCATAAAGGTTTAAACAGACCTTTGACGTGTTCTGGGTTCAAAAATTTCGATGCTAATTTTTCGTAGTCAAAAATTTCTTGGAACACTAATTAATCTGATTGAAAGTTTCAAGCTTTTTGAAAAAGACTATCAATAATTATCAGTATTTACGACGTAATACTTTAATTTTTGTGTGAAGTTGATGGACTTTAAACTACTATTTTTGACAAACAAGTAATGTTTCAACATTAAGAGAAGGTTTAAGTACACAGGTGTTATGATAAGAGTTTACTGATCAAAACAAAAAAAGAATTCAACAAAAAAGACTGGCTCCTAAACCGTAAAATTATATTATCAAGGTTAAGACACATATATGATTTAAGATCTCCAATGTTTTTGTTGACTGACACTTTTTCACGTAAACTTTATAAAAGCTTTTTAATTTTGATTTTAAGATGGTTTTTTCTTAATCGTCCTCGATTTTTGGGTAATTCATTCCATTTCTCGGCCTGTACTCCAGCTTTTGAAAACTCTGACAATAATTTTTTTTTCAATTGATTTTAAACAATAGATTATGATTTTATAGCATTTGGATTTAAGGTTGTAAGATTTTAGTCTTTTTTCTATTTAAGATGTTTTTTCGGTAAAAGAATCGAAGTTTTTCAACTATTAAAATTCCGGTATAACTTATTCTACATTAAGTATTTGTACAGAGTATATTGTATGTATTTAAGAGTAGATAATAACGTCTGTAATTTTTTTCATTAACCAAACGTTTACGCCCTAGTTTAATTCACGATTCAGACGATCGTTGTTTTCTGTTGTGATCTGCCAAATCATGTTCCGCTATTACTGGCGACGGGTAAAACTAAGGAATTCAAGACACAAATCATTAAGTACAGTTTGGTTTTATTGATAGATTTTTGCAAGCCTTTTTCTAAGACATAAAATATTGGGCTGAATCTTCAAATTTCAAAACTTTTTTATCAAAAGTTATGGAAACAAATTATTCTGATTTTTTGTCAAAGCTGAACACATCTTTTTTTTCACAATCATCAAAAATTCAAGATTTTAGGAACCTTTTTCGGACATGATTTAACATTTTTAAGGACTTTTGTTTTTCTTGTCGATCCAAATTCGACCCAAAGTTACCTAAAAAAACTGCTATCAAACTTTAAAAATTGAGATAAACGTTTAGGTTCGATACCAATCGGTCCACACCTTTTTTAATTACAAGTAGAAGAAAATCACATACCAGCAGAAATCAGGTATTTAGTACCAGTAAAACATTGACATCACATTGGTGGAAAACAACTACGATGATTACTCGAAAGTTCCTCAGATATTTCTTTTTCCCAAGTTTCAGTTGCGATAGCAAATGAGACTTCATGAATGGTTTTTCATCACAGCATTCATTGTTTTTGCTTTGAATGCTTTGGCACTCGATTTAGTAGAATCGAATTAACCGACAATTTGGTTATTTTTTCAAAAAATCTTCAAACATCAAAACTTCATATATTGACTGATAGTCTGAATTTGTTTTGAAACTTACTGAAAAAGAAGGTGCGTTAAATTTAGTATACAGTTAAGTTATCAAGTAAATAACTGAAGAGTATGTTTTTGCTCTTTCACACATGTTCTTTCAAGGCATGAATGAAAAATGAAATATTAGAACGCATGAATGAAAAAAGAAATCTTTTGCATAGTTTCGCGCACTTTTCCGGGCTCTTCTTTTGAAAGACAATTGAAAGAGCAAAACCAGACAGAAAGAGCAAAAACATACTCTTCAACACTTAGAACATAGTTGAAGATGGCCTCGGGCAAAAGAGCAGCCATCGGGCACTTCGTGCCCTCAGGCCGGGCTCTTTTTCCCTCGGGCATCTTGCAACTATGTTCTAACTACTACAAAGTCAGAGTATGTAGTAAAACATTGAGGCCCACTTATTCGAAAATTGTTAAAATCTTCACAACTGAGATACATTTTTTTTAAACTTTCCGTAGTGTTCGACTAAAATATTAAGTTGAGTACGCAGTAGACAACAACATGAGAAAACAAAGGTGATTTGAGGTGATTTGAGGCTCGCTTGAATATCACTTGTAGCCATCCGGCAACCTTGACTTTTTAGATAACTTTGCATTAAATTTTTGTCATTTGGGTGAACTCCATCGTTAGATTTATCACCAGCATCAATGTAATCTGAGCAAGTAACAGTTTTATGGCTATGGAGACCATCCAATTCCATAAAAATCAAAATCGTTCAAATGAGAATTTGTTTAAATTTGGTGTTATTTGCAACCACGGAAATGTTTTCTTACCCAAGGATTTTGTGCGTCATACAACAACTTTATCGCGCACAGATTTTTGTTTCTTTACGCTTGCGATTAGCAAGCGTTATCAAACTGGAATGCAGAATTTTTTTCGGGTTAACAGCTTACTTAACAAAATTACTTGCATCTTGGTTCATATTGAATTCAAACTTCTATGGGTTCCCGGTCAATTTAGCCTGGAAGTAACGGTTATGCCTGAATTTTGAAGTTTTCGACATTTCTCGAGAACAACCCTCCCAAATTTGGGATTTTGGGTTCAATCAGAATTACAGGTACAGTGAATCGATTCAGCATCAGCGGTAACGCCCTATTTGTTCACACAAAAAGCTATGATTCTTTGCTTTTTGCTTAGTTGACCGTTTTTTGGTTTTTTCTCGCTAACTATCCTGCCAAATCTGATATCATAGATTTAATCAAAAGAACAGTTTGTTGAAAGCCTATTTTTATAACTGGCCATGCCCAGTTTGTTTTTAAAAAGCTTTGGCCTTCAAACAAGTCGAATTTTTGAAACTTTGACAGTATTTTTCAAACGTTTTGACTTTACGCGAAAACGAAAAACGTTTGATCATTTTTTAGAACTTTGGATCGTTTTTTAAAAACTTTGAATTTTCCTAAAATTTACACAAAAAACCTGAGATGAAAAATTCAACTGAAAGAACCCGTTGCATTAATGGTTCCTGCAGAAGCGGCGGCTCCTTAATTTTTCGTAAGATTTTTTTTGGAAAATTGATTACAAAATGTCTTACTCTTCTCTATTATTTTAATGGAGAAACAACTAAGGTTTTGAGTAAAGTCCAATTTTTGAAATCACATTTTTTTAGGAGCATCAGGATAGCAATTTCATTTAATATCAAACACACACCTCTATCTTTAGCTGGGCCCCTTGTTGCTTGCTATCTAGATATACGAAAATTTTGGTTCATCTAATTTTTTTCAACATTTTAAACTTTTTTTTCGACCTATTTCTTATGGTTGTGTTGTATAGCTGGTAGTGTGAAGCTCCGCTTCGCCTTTGTGTATAAAATTGCGCGTTTTTTATCGTATCTTAGAAATGTTAAAACAATGTTTTTTTTCTACTCTAAATTTTTCATAGAATTTTGATAATGCTAGTAAGTTATTATAGTCACCAGTTTGACGATTCCAGAGTAATAAAATTTGCTTTTCCAGGTCTTTTTTTATGAAAAATTTCCATTTGCCTAATTGGTTAATTACAATCCACAAAACACCTTCCAATTGACTTTCTTGATTTTTTTTCTAAAATTGCAATGATAAAAAACTATGGTAACCTCCTCTCAGTCAAAATTCCTATTGATCCAGGACCCCGATGGGTCGATGGGTGCGGTTGCGGCAACATTTCTCAGCCTAGCAAATAACAAAAGAAATTTATTTAGTTAATTTATCTGAGGCAGAAAAACGAATATCCGTAGAGAGCTCAACAAATCAGCTCGTACGTCCATGTTTTCCCTAGAGAGTAAATTTGCAGAAAAAATCATGTTCTGAGATTTTTGAATTGAGCATTTTAATCATGTCCTCAATAGAATTCTATTTATATGAATGAATTTGATTTTTGGGACATGATACTTACTAGCATCCAATGAACTTCACAGAATTCATAGTACGATAAAAACAAGTGCCTCCATTGAAACAGAAATCATCGTATTCGGGCGGACAGGTTTCATCGTTATCTACTTGTTCCCAAGCTCCCACTAAACATCTGAGTTTTCAATTGTGAATACTCCAATAGTTTAAACCACAAAAATAATGTGAATTCGCAATAAATTTATCATTTAATTGCAAAGCCAGAAATTGTTTTAGAAATTTTTCAATGCCGACCTTTTTCTAAGTCGACCATTTTCTTCTGAAGGAGAAACAAGAATCTTTTGTGACAGCAAAATAATGAAGAAAAGTTCGAGAAGGTTGGTTTAGGTTGGCCTTTTGGCGGTGAAGTGGTCAAATTAATGATGGGTGCTGTCGCTGTCACTAAATTCAAAAAACGTTACCTGTTTTGCTGACAAACCCAAACGCAAGGCCGAGAACCAGCAGAGACATGAAGTTTTTTTCTTGAGCTTATTTTTGACGAAGATGGAAATCTAGAATTTAGAATGGAATTTAGAATTTTGACGAATATTAAAATTAGAAATTTGAAATTTAGACTCTCAGTCAGTTTATCTAGTTAATTGGGCCTTGGAGAATAATAGCGTGTTGAAAATTGAAACTAACAGATAATAAAAAGTGCTTTGAATTAATTCACCTCGAAAAAAAAGAGTAGACAATGAAAAAAACGTTGAACAAGTCATAACTTTAGAAAGCTATGGGGATTTTGACGAAGATTGAAATTCAGAATCTCACTCTGTTTATAAATAATTAATTGGACCTTTGAGAATAATAGCGAGTTGAAATTCGAACCTAACGTACAATAAAAGGTGCTTTGAATGGTCCACCTCAAAAAAGTGTAGACAATGAGAAAAAAGTGCTGAACGAGGCTTATTTTTTGAAAAGTTACGGGGATTTTAAAAGTTACGGGGAATGAACAAAATGAAAAGCTTGACAATCTTTCTTAAATTGATCAAATACGTTTTCTGAGTTCTCCTATTAGTCTCAGAAAATGTAGACAATATGTTTTTCCGCAGACAGTTTTTTGCAAACAAGAGTCACTAAGTCCGTTTTGGAAAGTTTTGACCACTGATGACTGTATCTGAGTGCCTGAACTTTAGTTTTGCATTGGTACGGTATTTTAACGAAGAATGTCTAGGTATCTCTCAACTGTTACACAAGTTTGCCGAGAGACTAAAGTTATACATAAAAGGCCTAAGGGTGTTATCTGTCAAATTTTTGAAGTTTGACATCCATCAACTTTTTAGACTGCGAAGCTCGGGGAAAGAATTTAGAAACTCAATCAGCGTTTACCTGTGCACCCTTTTCTTACACCATTTTCGATAAGTCGCCCAATACTTAAACCGTTTTCTACAATAATCCGAATTTCAAAACGTTTGATTAATGAACTTATCTCAACACTATTGCTGCAACAACAATGGACAGAAGACAGCGACATCGAATTCGGAGAAACTGTTTAAATTCTTTTAAAAATGATACAAAGAATACTCTAGCCAATTTGACACATCACAGAAGACAAACCAACTGGCAGCGACCAGACATGTATTTACATCGTTAAAATTAGGGTCAATTTTAACCAATACCAGCCATTTGGGGTATTCACATTTCGCTTCTCACACGTTTCGCCCCTCATAAATTACTGGCAAATTTCGTCCCACACACATTTGGTCCCCCATAAATTACTGGCACATTTCGCCCCTAAAATGTACATTAAGAAAGCGGCATTAATTAACTGTGTAATAAGTTAGGGGCAAAACGTGCGAGGACGAAATGTGTGAAATTATTAGGGGAGAAATGTGTGAGGGCCGAAATGTGCCACTAGATTTAAGAGAGGCGAAATGTGTTTGGAGCGAAACGTGGGACGTTTGCCATTAGGTTAGCACATGTTATATTTTTTGGAAAACGGTTAATGGTTTTTTTAAATCTTTTAATCTCAATAACAGTTATGTTTGTCACAAAAGCTTCAGTATTCTAAGCTGAAACATCGGTTAGAGTTCAACCTGTAACGCCAATTTCTGGTACTTGATCTTGATTGCTTCAATGCTGAATCTTAACAAACTATGAGTCCAATTTTCTAATTTTTATCTATTTTATTTCCTATCTGAGTAGTTTTGCTAGCCGTTAGCAGCAACGAACTTGAAAATGGTGGCTTTGTGTGGGAAAACTAAAACTATCACAACTTGATCAATGACGTTTGACACAGTAAAAACAGTGCGGTCTGGCTCGGGTCTTGAACAATATGCGGTAGACAACGGTGGGGGAACAAACTGCTGTGTATATAAGTCGAAGACCTGAAGGCAGCTTCAAGATACTTTTTGAAACGTGGAGAGGCCTACAGTGGTCCATCTGCTAAGCCAGCTTGCCCAAGTGCGCCTCGAATTAGAGGAGCCACGCGATGACTACTTCAATCAAAACCCGGTTGAGCGACGCTAGAGAATCAATCACGGCTCAACAAAGCTCCTAAAAGCTTTGGTTTTCAATAGGCTGCTCAACATTTGTACTCATTTTTTGACGCCGGAGAGCCTTAAAGCAGTCATGATGTCTACGGAACGAAACCAATAGGCTGGAAAAAAAACGCCAGGGTTGGCATGGGGAGAAGACTGGACTTGGACACTCAGCCATGGAAGCTGCAACGGAAAGGATGGACTGTAAAGTAGTGGCTGCTATGCTTACGGTCACTAAGGAATATATCGACACGCTGCAAATCGAGTTGTGAGAGCGTTGAATGAAGTAATTTAAAAAGTGGAATGGAAAATCCCAGCGGTTTAGCGGTACACAAGTAATAGTGTCTCAAAATTGGAACGATTTGCAACGGCTGCAAGCACTGCAACAATTTTCTTCAGTTGATGTGCGGATGCTCAAGTTTTGGTGATCATCTTGCTGTTGATACATGACCATATGATGAGCAATACAAACAGTTTTTTGTGCCTATGAGAGCTGAAACGAGGTGGCAAGAAGAAATAACCCAGACGAAACTTTGTCCTAAATTAATGGCAATGACTCAATGGAAATAGAAATTAGCGAATGAAATTGCAGATGCATTACTTCAAAATTTGTCCACTGTTACCAACATTATTTATCAGATATTGGTAACTCAACTTTTTTGTTGGTCAAACCTGAAGATAATTTTAGTTGTTGGTGTTTTCAACATCTTGGATTTTTTCATACATGCGACTGTATTCTCTTAAATCTGAAGAAAAAATTTTAACCGACCAATGCTTCACTGATTATAACCTTATAGCAAGTTTTTTTTAATCTTTTTTCCACTTCAACATCTTTAATCTTTAATGTTTAATGTTCTGACTTAGGTCGACCCGTTTAGCCAGTTTTTCTCAAGTATCTGCGCTTTTGTTAATTCCTTCTTTTAAATCGTACTGGATTTTTTTTACATGTCTTCAAGTGCAGGTGGTTCTAAAATACAGAGCCTCAGTGACCCCATTTGCTCCAACGACTGTTGATTTTTCGACCAAACACGACTACGCATAAATTTAGCTTAAATATCAACTCAGGGACAAAATATTCGATGTGTTGTTTTATGTTTTCATAGTGTTGTCTTTAGCATTAGTGGCCCAATCATTTTAATTTTGATGTTGGGAAAATCAGGTTGTACCAATGTGACAATAAATCTCTTACAACAGTTCGAGCAGTGGAAAAAAAACAATTGAAGAAACTTGCTATATGGTTACAATCAGTGATGCATTGGTCTATTAATATAAATTTACTAGATTTAAGAGACTACAGACGCATACATAAAACAAGGATGGCGGTTACTGTGCAAGTAGCACAGAATGTTCCGACCATACTGTTACAAAAATACAAAAAAAAACTTTCAAGTTAGTGTCATTTTCTCTGTGTAGAGTGATGAAAAATTTGATCAAAAATTGAGAAATTAGGCAAATGCGACAGTAGTAATAGGCCAATTGGACAACAGAGAATCGATATTAGAGCAAAAATCAAAAACTTTGAATTTTTTTTAAAAACTGTTTGATTTCGTTCGAATCACTCGACCGATTTCGATGATTATTTGTGGTACCTGATTTTGCGTGGAAAACGAAAAAAAAAGAAAAAGCTCCAGAATGCAATTTTCCCCTCTTTTTTCGACTAGCTGGAAATAAATAATGACGATGGAAACAAGCATTTGAAAAAACCAACAACCCAAATCATCATGTAAAATCAACAAAAAATTTTTAAGAAAAAGAACCGTTCGAAAGGAATTCTTGAATGCGTATTGTTTGATTGAGAGACAATCATTTTTAATGAAGTCAAAAGATTTAATAATTGCTCAAAGCACCTGATTGATTCAAACTTTTATGTAACTGAAGTTTTCCTGAGTTTTTAACATGAGAAACGTCTGAAAATTAGGATTCAAGAAATTGACGTTCAGAAAAACGCCGATTAAATAACCAGATGCAAACCTTGCAAAAATTACTTGCAGAAAATATAATTCTACTGATGGCAGACTTACCTAATTTCAGAGTAGATTTCACTGGCAAATTTTGAAATACAGGTGTCTAATCAAGTGTTGAGACCGTCAGAGAAAATATAGACATTTCTGGTTATTTTTACCCAATTAGCTCCTACACACATGACAGTTCTAAAAATTACAAAAAATTCAAAGCTAAACTAAATAGCTGACTCGAGGTAAACCAGATTTTGCCCAAAGATTTCGATGAGCGGGAATTCAACCCACCAATTGAGCCACTTTTTGGAGTTACGAGGAAATTATTCGTAACAAAAGCTTAAAAAAGTACGATATAATCATATGGGAACGCAAAAAATGGCGACTGGTATACCTTTGTTTTAGGTAGCATTTTATGGACTTCTTTGAAGGCGATCATGTGAGGCTAGTTGACTCACAAAAACTTATCGATAGTTTTAACTTGAAAAAAACCTTCAATTTGAGCTTGATAAAAGTAAATTTGTTACGATTTGTGGAAATTAAAGAGAAACAAGAAACATAAAAGCGACCAATCGTACGCACGTTACAATACTGAAAAATGAAAACGCAATAAAGTCAACGGATGATTCTAGTCGCGAAAAAAAAACACAATTGTTTTGCAATTGTAGGATAGAAACTGAGAGTTACTTGGAGCACTACATGGTGCACTTTTTTTGCAGAAAGTTACTTGTAATTTTTATTTGTGTAGGAACCGGTGCAAGTGGTCACTTAACAAATTTTGTTAAAGGATGGCAAGAAAAATCAATCGATTGTAATCATCGGTTTGTGTTATTGTTCCTTTAATTTTCAAAGAAAATAACGCAATATTTGTGCTCGGAGTGTTTTTTTCTCTAGACAATGTTAGAGTTTTTAACAAGCAATTTTTTCATCGTTCAAAAAATATTATTGTCTTGACCTCAAATTAAAACAAAAATTCACCTTTGTTCAATTTAGGAAAATTAACGCGCGATATTTTTTGCGTTATTAACGCGTTCTAATACTGAGAGTCGGAACAACAATCGTTCATTTATTCAGCCATCAAATTTGAATTAGTTGTCATTTTATGAAAACTTTCAAGT